AAACTAAAAATTTCGGGTGTCTCTTAGGGATTCGTAACCTTTAAACACCCCAAATTTAAATTTCGAAATCCTAGTAAAAAATTACACAATGAGGTCCAAAGGCCAAAGATTCTCAAAAAATTCGATTCAAGAAAGCCTACAAAAGAAGAAACCCCTCGATTAGGATTACCCGATGACTCTAGCACCCCAAAGTTCACGCTGCACCCCAGAGGACAGTCTTATCAATTCCAGAAGCTGGAAAAAGTTGTGAGCAAAGGTGGAGAACGTTCGCAGCAGTAGGCCGTCAAAACGGATTCCGAAACCTCGTCGACGAGACGTTTCGATTTCAATTTCGGCCTCGGCGAGAGGAGGGAGAGAGAGCGGGGAAGAAGAATGTATTTGAACGCGGGATTAAAACTCGAGTTTCGGGTTACGAATGCCAAAAATGGGAAAATTGAGAAAGGGGGAAAGCAAAAGTTTAGGGCAATCAAGGAAGGGGGCGCCGCAAGAGATGAGGCTACTTCTCATTGCCAGACTGCGCATGAGGACGCTTCGAAAGACGTGCGGAGTAAACTGATACGTCTGGGTTTTAGCGGTGTAAACGAGAAGGTTTTGCGGATGATGCAAATATTAGAAAAAATCGATTTTTTCTTGTTTAGTCATCAAATAAGTCAGACTTTGATAAGAAATGCTGTAAAAATGTCTACCTTGTATGGATTGGTTTCAAATTTGGCCTCTAGGGTCTGAATACCCTAGAAGTCGATCACTAAAAATCTTAGCTCACACTTGACAGCGGGAGCCGAGATATTCAACAATCTTTATCGAAAGAGCACATGAAATGAAGAGAGGCGGAAAGACGAAAAAAATGTTTTGCCAATGACTAAAAGAATTTTTTCAAAGTCCCAAAGGAAAAATAGACGCCTTTTAAAAAATTTTTTAGTCATTACATTTTACAGAGCCTAAGATTTTGGTCGAAAACCCAAAAAAAAGTTTCTTGACTTCCGGTCCAAAATCTTGATTTTTTCTGTAACACGCAAGCTAAAATATTTACATGCCTCTTAAAAAATTCTGCTCTGCACGAACCCCGGTAAAAGCATGACTAATATTTTTCAATTCAAAAAAAATATATAACAAAAAAATCAAGAAAATTCTAATCCGATGCTTCGACTTTGCCCTTCTCAAAGTTGGAGGCTACAATTTGTAACCAAAGAGAAAAGAGCAGAATCAAAAATCATCTTGATTGTGAGAGCGTTGTAATAGTAGATGAAAGCAACTATTGCGAGGGGGAGTGTTATAAGAATTCTCGCTTTTTAAACGTTGATGACACTGTGAGACCGAAAGAACCGCAATTTTTCCTTGATAGGAAAAAGAATATGTGTTAAAACTGTATTTAAATTTTTTTAGGGGAAAGTAAAAAATTGATTGATTGAGAGAAAATTTTTGCTTTTTTTTGTGAGAAAGAAATTCCCTATTTTTCCCAAAAATAATATTCAAAATGAAGCCCAAAAATGCTAGCCGAGCCACTGACTAAATGCACGCTTGATTATTGAAGCCAATCATCAAAAAATAAATACGGAAAATGGGGAGACCCTGATTTGTGGGCCCACTAAAACCGTTTTTTTTAAAGGAAGCAGAGCTGATTATAAACAAAGCAAACTGACAGTGAATCTTTTTGAGACAATCATGAGACTGGAGGATCGATTTTTGCTCAATTTTATGACAACAAAATTTGATAACAAAAAAATTTTTTTTTTTAATTGATTAAAGTATTGAAAAAGAGTGCCTGCTTGATGACTCAAGTCCAATTTAATATCAAAAAGAATATTCTGATATCAAAAATTTTATCATAATCCTACCACAATAGAATCTATTCGCACACAAAGTCCCATAACCTTGACAAAACTGCCCGTTAACACGCACTGCCGTTAAGCCCTTCAAAACGCCTCAACTTGATGATATGGAAAGGGGAGTTTTGCATGAAAACGAATTTTCAAGTGTAAGGAAGCCGGGCTATTTTTAGCGCCTCAAACCCGCCTTTCCTGAATTCGCATTTTTCCCGCTGTCTAATATGTATAAAAAGACTCCTCATCGATTCCCGCACTCGTCATGAAATCGTCAGTTCAAGTTGATAAAAGGTTATTGTTTACGGGAAAAAATTTAGAAATTTGAGAAAATTTTTTTTTTTTTTTAATTGCATTAATTTTTACAAGAAAAATTCAATGAAATCCCTCGAAAAACATTTTTGAAAAAATTAACACATCATAGGCCGTATGGCACCGGTGAAAAAACCAAATTTAAATTATGAGACGAAATTTTTTTTGTCTAAAAAATTTCAAATAACATAGTTGATTATTCAGCATGCAAAATGAAGCGAACGCCCCTACACAATGTGCAATATGTAATGGAGAAAATAATGCGGAATAAAAAAATACCAGTTGCAAAGCAAACCTCAAAATAAATCGACTCCCTACAACGAGATGTTTGTAAAAAAATCCAGCGGTCAATTTCGGCTTTAAAAGCAATTTTCGCTTATCAATTTGGATTAATTTTATCAGTCTGCCGGGAAAATAATAAACACAATGCGTAGCGCCGATGGCGTGGCTGAAGTGAAAAAAAATTGATTGTGCCAACGCATTTCACTTTTGCGATCTTTCATGCGACAGATTGGTCAATATCTTCCCCACAAACTGATAGTGCAAATTTTTGTTGAAAATTTAAGCCTGCTTTTTGAGGAAACAGCAATTTTTACATCAAAAATAGACCAAAAATTCGAATTTTTTTATTTCTGGGTTACAAAATTTCAGGCATTTTTAAGACCAAAGTACCACAAAAAAAAATAAATTTTTCTTAAATTTGAAGACATTCGAATAGCCGGGCTTAGAATACTAATCGTTTCCGTAAGCTGGAGCGATTTTTCCGACACGCACTGTGCAAAAAAAGTCGGACGAAAAAAGTCGATTGCACTGTGCGAAAAAAGTTTTCTTTGCACAGTGCAATTTGTCGCTTTTTTCACCGTACAATAGACTTTTTCCGGCTGTCGCTGACTTTTTTTGCACATTGCAGTTCACAGGAATCACTCTTGTGATCTTGCAAAGGGCCCAGAAAAAGTCAACCTGGGTACAGTGCAAATAAAACTCAATTTTTCTCCGAAATTTCTTTGAAAAATATTTTTTCAACTCAACCATCGCAAACTACACTCCCCCAACCGCATATTCGAAAGTCCATTACAGACTTTGTAAACTCTCGAATTCGCTTGCAAACCGCCGGCATGCCCGCCAGTAGCATGCCATTTGCACTGTGCCGAGTTGAATGATGCAAAAAATGTTTTCGAGACAGGCGCATGTTTTCGGGGTGGTGTTTTTTGAAGAGAGAAACCCCCCGGTCTCTATTGATATCCAGCGCGGCCCCCACTGGGTAAGTAAATCCATAAAGAGTAAACATAAAGAAATACAACAAAGTGGGAGCGGAACCCAGAGTTCAGAAAGTATCCTGGGAACGTGCAGGTATTTAAAGTCGGGCCGAGTATCAAGCAGAATGAAGGAGAATTTGGTCACTACAGATGGCTTCATTAGACCGAAGGTTCAAGTATTTTTTGCGTTGTTAGGCGTCCCGCAGGACTTACAATTGAAGAATTGCGATAAAAAAACTGTATGAACTTCTGCTGGTCGAACTTGACTGCCAACAGGACTTTTATTTTTATTTTTAGCAAATACGCAACGATTAGACCGCATTGATTGTAAACAATTTGCTTTTTACAACCTAATTGTCATGGCGAAAAACAAATCATCATTTTTTTAACGAAAGCCCGCTCCCCTGCGCTCGAATTTGATGCATACTGTAAAGAATTTTGCTTACAATTCCCCATTCAGCGTGCCGTTCGAAGCGCCAAGCTCTAAACGGATGCTCAAGACGCGCAAGGCCAAAGTGGAAGCGGAGGAAAAGATTTGCGAAACCTTGTAACAACATTTCCAACTTTTTTTCCCCTCAAATCTAACCCCGCCAAAACCAAAACTCCCAAACCGATATTCTCCAGGGCGAAAACAGCCAGAAGACCCGGAGCCGGCGCCGTTTTCTTCTGCTTGTTTCCCGCCGTCTTCAGAAGTCCGTGGGGCCCGAGACGAAAGGAAGAGGGAAAAGTGGAAGAAGATGAACACAACAAAAGATGGACCGAGATCTCGACCCAATTCTGGGATTGAATTTAACCGCCTTTTCCACCGGCAATTTCCGATTTGTCTGATTGCTGTGGGGAATGAGCGAAGATTAGGAGATCTTTGCTCATTCCTCTGGCGTTTTTCGGAGGTAACTGATTTTTATGCGTAAAAACTAGGAAAAAAGTTGATTATCTGGCGACGAGTTGAAAGATATTGCCATAAAGACATAAATAATTAATTCAAGATCGCATATATACTGTCTATAGTCATATCGCTTGAAGAATGACCAAATAACACGCATCAAGTTTGTGTCTTTTCCTGTTCCAAAATTGTTTGTTTTCCCCCTGTTAAACCCCTAAAATATACTGTTTTTTCCATGTAGACATCCCCCTGTAGACATAAAAGGAATCAAGGACCAAGCGCCTTTTGCCCAAGCCTCAAGGACACGGCGGAATTTGGTTTTTTGCACCCGAAGGCCAATAATTGAAGTACTTGCATCTTGAGGACCTTGCCCTAAATTGAAAATTGAGTCCGATTCGCGGAGGAATTGGGCAAGACTTTAGCAGATGCTACCCCCTTCCCGCACCCAACAATGCCATCAGCCAGCGGGATGACACTAATTTTTACTCAAAAAACGGCGAAAAACAAAAATATTACGTGATGATTAGAGAGTGAAAGTGTAGTCAGTACGAACGTTTATGACCTTACAGGTAATGCAAGCACGGTAAAAGGACACCAACATCTCCTATGCACCCTTTATGGGGCCCAAATTCGGAGAAAAAACGACAGTTTTGAGTTGGCAAAGCTCCGAACCAGCTGTTTGTGACAGCAACAGCTCACAACAAGCACGACAAGACTTCATGCGGACGACTACGACACCACGGGCACACTCACATCCCTAGACATCGAAGTACACGAATGCGAAAACCGCTACCCACCGTTGTGGATGACGTGATGGTTCGGGCCGACGGACGTGATCTGGTAGTCCGAGAAGTGGGGGTTGCGTCGCGGCGGCGCCGCAATCATCTGATTGGCGTGGCTGGCTTGGGCGTTTCCCATCGTTTCGCACAGAACCAATCGAAGGAATCGCCGAATGTTGAACTACGACAGCTTCTTGAGGTAGTGGAAGAAGGAGGGGCGGATAATTTCTGTGACAGGTCGAGTAAGGTGTATTATAAATGGCAAATATTTCGCGAGATTATACGTCAAAATTCGAATGGATGATAAAGCCATATACAGGGTGTTTCAAGAAATTCCGGGGAAAACTTTTGTCAATTTCTCAGTCAAGATATCCAAAAAATTTTTTCTGCAGGATAAAGAAGAATATGGGCGGTTTTTGGCCTATGAAAATCATTTTCTCCGTCAACGCGGAAAGCAGTGTATTCGGCGGAGACTTTTGGGCACTTTTTATAACAAACAATTTTTTCAAAAAATCGAAGATTTTTCAGGATGTCGGGAAAATAATGAGCACTTTGTCGCATCGAAAATCGCATCGCTGCTGAGAAAATTAATTGTATCACGGGATTTTTTCTCCATTAAAATTTTTATGTCCTACTTCGGTCAAAGACTACTTTACAGTTTCGAAATGCCCTAATATCATCATTTTCTTGATGTTGCTTTCCCATAGCGCCCTTTCCTCCCAACAAATCCTTTGATAATGTAATCTTCCAAAATAAGAAAGAGCAAAAATCAAACACACTTTTTGAACACGTACAATCGTATCAATTACCGCCATTTACGGCCCCTCAAGAACCATCTGTTGTTCCCCCTACGGCAAAGCAGACAAAAATTCACCTGTTTTGGCGCGCAAAACATACTTTAAATTCGGTGCGAATGCCCTAAAAGGACTTTAGTGCGGATGCCCTAAAGGGCTTTCGTACAGCGAAAGGGCATGTCTTACAAGTTTTTTTTTACAAAAAATACATTGTCCCCACCCGCCGCCCATGACATAAATCTGCTGTTTTTTGAACCTAAACTAAAACTTTTTTGGGTTGCGGACACAAAGTGGCGTCAGGCCCACTTAAATGTTATCCGAGGGTTCTTCGGCGGCAAGGAATATGAGGAAGAGGGTTGGAAGACGCCGGTTTTTAAGGGAATTCGCCTTGACAAAACAACATTAGCCGAAAACGAAAGGGAATCGACGGGCCTCCTGGAATCTGGAGCCGGTTCGGGCTGGGGATGCGGTAAAATACGTTGGGGCTTCGAGGATTGTATAAATAACTTTGATTTTGCGGTTAGGTAAGCGAAAATCGCCGCTTGATTTTGGGGACCGAGTTTTTTGTAAACTGACTAGCAGTCTGTCGGGAAAATGATGAACAAAATCCCGGTGTGCCGTTGAAGTGAAAAGAATTTTGATTTTGCCGCGACACAACTCATTTCCTAGGCGGCGATGCGGTTTTTGATGCGACAGAATTATCATTATTTTCCCGACAAACAGATAGTAAAATAGATTCTTTTTGAGGGACTTTGAGAAAGTTTCTGCCAAAAAAATTTTTGTCTGACCAACCCTCCTCTTTTTTCGTACACTCTAGTTAAAAGATCGCTGAACCTCTCAGCTGCAAGGCTGGAACTAAAATTTAATTTTCAATTATTAATTTTTTGCCTATGCAGAATATACATACGTGCAAAATTTGAAAGAAATCCGAGCCTCGCGCCTCCAGAAATTTCCATATAAAAAGCCCGGTTTGTGATCAAAAATCCTACAGAATCCGGCATCCAAAATCCCCATTTAAATTTCTTGCCTTCAACTTAACAACACTCTCCCCTCTGATCAAGCAGATTAACCACATGTCCGGAAGAGCCAAACTAATCACGAGCTCCTCGCTAATCTCCAAATTAGACCCCGATGAAATTTGATAGGATTGTTTAAAACTTCGCGCCCGACATACTTTTTTCATTTTTCCCCCAACGAAATGGTCGGGAAAACGACGTAGATGTTTCGGGGAGTGAGTCAGCCGGCGAAATTTCGTTCAGGAAGGGGGTCCTTAGCCTAGCAACTTGAAATTAGAAAACATGCGGCCGTCTCGAACAATTATTATTGAGAGGCATAAAGTCCGTAGCCAGCGCCCTTGCCCGAGAGGATGAGATCTTTTGTTTCGGGGGTGATAAGAAAGAAGGCGTAACAGGCTCGTAAAGTAGAGTAAATTTGGCAAAATTAAACAACAACGAGCCCCGAAAAAGTCGTTAATTTTAGCCTTATGTACCACAAAACGAAACATCAGCAACAAAAGTTATGCCATTCGGCCGTTCGGCGAGAAAAAACAAAAAAATTTTTTTTCATTTCATGGCCAGAAAAAGCCGATTTTCGCCCCGTCGGATCAAAAGCCCCTGAGGGTCGGGACAGGTGGGCCAAAAAATTTTCCTCCTCCCTTTCGTTCCTGTTTTTTCGACGTTCAACACGCCGTTTTATGTCTACGGCTTCCTGATCCGGCGAACGCTTTTCCCGATGAGACTTTTTGAACCTGTTCTTCGCACGTCTCGTGTCGGGTCGACGTAATAAAGAGACGGAAATTGCTGTTGCAACCCACAGAACGGACTCAGAAATGTGTCCAAGGGCGGTATGGTCCGTCCTAGCGGCCGTAGAACTAAATTATTTAGAAAATTCTAACTGTAGACGGGCAATATGGCCAGGAAGAGTCCGATAACTTGGCCCACTTGAGCTTCTCAAAACTTGGTCTACATATATTTATTATAATTTTTCAGGCTGTCGGGAAAATAATAAGCACAAAGTCGCTGCGCCGACCGCGTCGCTGGAGTAAAAATAAGCTTGATTTTTTCGCGATACAAAAAATTTTTTCGGCGACGATGCGATTGCGATTTCGATGCGACAAAATGCTGATTACTTTCCCGGCAGTCTGAAAACTAGGATGCAAAAATATCGCTCAAAACTTTAGCTCGCCGTTGTCCTAGTCGGTCATAATTGAAGGTACTGTTACGAGAGAGTACGTAAAATGAAGAGAGATGAACATACAAAAAAAATTTTGACAATAACTTTTGTCAGCGCTAGGTTTGCCCTATTTCACTCCGCATTGCTAAGCAAATTGAAATTTTATATTATATTATTCTCTCGCTTCAAGCGCAGACGTCCGAACTCTTGCTCCGAGAAGTTAGTGCCAACGTTCCTAACCCAATTACGCATAGACAAACACATAAACATTAGAAATTAGCCTGTTGTGAAAAGCGTAACGCACCCACTCTACGTGCCCTCTGCACACAATCCCAATAAATTGGAAATAAACGGCGGAGAGTAGTCATAGGCGTGCTGGAAGTTAAAACAAACAACAAGGCCGGCTCGAAAAAGATTAATCAGACCAGAAATTAGGTTAGATTTAATTTTAGGGTTGGGTTTTTCGGCACAACCTTTCGGGCAATGGCGGCCGCTCACGCAATTTTCAAAACGCTGAAAGAATTTGTGTGTTCGGTTTGGCATGACAAACAGGTGGGATGTTAAAGTCGTGTTACAAAGGTTGGTTTTTTTGAAAAATAAAGGTAAAGGTTGAAGGCGAATTTTACGGTTTGAATTTTAATGAAAAGTACGGCAAGTACGTGTCGAACTTTTACGAAAGACTGTATTCTGTCAAATTCCGTAGAGAAAACGGTTAATTTTCGCTGAAAAATTTTGCTTTTTTGTTATCTGATACATTGTAAAAATTGAGATTCCCATGTAGAAAAAAATTATTTTTTTCAATTTTCCAGTTAAAAATCTCGACCGTTTTGGCAACTTTTTTTCAAATTTTTTCCAAGTTTCAGCAAAATTAAAGAGTCACACATTATTAGAAGATATCAGTCTGTCGGGAAAATAATGAGCTCTCTGTCGCATCGCAAATCGCATCGCCACCGAGAAAATGAATTGTGTAGCAGAAAAGTCAAATTTCTTTTCACTTCAGCGACACCATCGGCTCAACCACTTTGCTCGTTATTTTCCCGACAATCTGACAGACCATAAAACCCCCACTGAGTCATCATTTTCAAAACCCGGCGAGTAAATTTCGCTCAACATCCTCCTCAAAACCCCTCTCAAGACCTTCCGGGAGGGTTGCGAAAAAACACCAAGAACCGAGTTCCTGGACTGAGTCAGTTTTGGCAAATAAAACACAAATCAATCACAGAATTCCCTCTGCATCCCGACTGGATCCAGCCGGATCGCTCTGCCCTCCCCTTCCCACTCCTTATCACACATATTATGCTTGTGCATTCCTCCCCTCTTTATTGCTGTTTTATTGTTGAATTTTTTCCTCGAGAAAAACGAAGACTTTGGGGGGAATGCCACCTGTTCGCGAGGACGCTTAAAGCAGGGGGACTTTTTGTTTTCGGCAATGAGTAAATAAAACAACAGGGATCCATTACAAAGAGATCAAGAGATGAACGGTTCATGGTCGCAAAAATTGGGGTAATCCCAATTTTCAACGGCTGTTAGTGGCTTCTTATATGTGGACTTACAAAACCGATGAACTGCCAGTAAATCCCCGTGGGCTGATTGTCCCATTCCCTCCATTGAATCTCGGCCCAGCCAAAAGAAGTCGTTGAAAAAGCTAAGTCTCGTCGGCAGCGCGTTGACTCCGAAGAGCGCGGCGTAGGCATGCCAATAGGCGTGCCATTGGGAATGGGTCAAATTCTTGGCCAACAAACACATCCATTGATCCCAGAGCGGGGAGTCAGCGGTGTTTGGAGCCGCCATGTTGGACAGGAGATTCAGCTGAGGGTTCATTTGGAGTGGTTGCGGATTGAAAAAGGGCTGTGGATACGAGAGAGCCGCTAAAATTATAAGATTTTTACAGAATAAGTTTGCCATGCCAGTCTATCGTCGCATTATGTCTGCTGTAATTATCGTCGGGAAAATAATGAGCATTCTGTCGCATCAAAAATCGCATCGCCGCCGAGAAAATGAATTGTGTCGCAGCAAAATCAAATTTCTTTCGACTTCAACTACGCGATCAGCCCAGCGACACTGCCCTCATTATTTTTTCGACAGACTAGTTGACAGATTAGTCTAGACTAATAAATAATTCATCATCGTGTTCAATCGACCTATTCTCTCCATCGCACCAAGATCAAGGATTAGAAACTGAGAAACTCACTAGTATCTAGTTGTTGGACCTCATTGGTTGCATACCGCGGTTCACCAACACTAAATTGAGATCGCATTGAGCTGCTGTCGGGGACAGAGAAAGACGTTGACGGCTGATTTTCATTGAAATTGGTGCTGATTGGCAAGGGCGACACTTCGGTCATAAATACCTCGTTTGAGTGGCTGGAGTCGGTGAGTTCATCTTCATCCGAGTGCATCCTGAAAACAATTTTTTTTGACAAAATCGTTGCATTTATGGCTAACGATAAGTGGTCTTCCTGTAGCGGCTTCCAAACACGGGCAAAAATTTCTGTCGGAAAAATAGTGAGCACTCTGTGGCATGTAAAATCACCTCGCTGCCGGGAAAATTAATTGTGTCGCTTTGAGAGAAATGTGTTGCGGTCATCTCTCCCGCCGTCGTAAATCATCTCTCCCGCCGTCGGGAGAGAAAGAGAATCTCGCCCTAAATCTTTAGTCGGGGTTTGTTGTAGGCCTTGGGTGCGGACGCGCACCCTTGGAGTCTCCTCAATAAACTTAAAATGGAATATGATATCGGCATATATTGAGCTAATTGATATTGCGCTACTAGAACCAACGGGTCAACATCACCCGCTACAAATGGAGGTCCCTAGTGAGAGTAGCCTTTTAGCTCGGTGTGTGTCGATATTCTTTCCTGTATTTTCTATCTATTCTTGTTCTGTATGGTCACTACTATTAGAAATTGATGTGAATTTCTGCGTACCTCAAATATTACCCTACGTTCAACAAAAACCGGAGACAAATGATGAAATGGAGCGACCCAAGGAAGAGGCAACGACTCCCCCGGTAAATTTTAAAATGATGGTGAATATATGAAAAATGATGTCTACATCACGAGGACGCGATGTCTCTTTTTGGTTGGGAGAGACCAGCACTGCAATGGAGAGTGCCGAAGATGCGCCAAGAGCAAGCGCAAGTGACCAAATCAAGAACAAGACCGATGGCCAAGTATAGGAGACGAATATGAAGTTAATCAGACAGTGAGATTCTTATTATATTTTGTTTTAACCCGACTCAATTCCATTCTGATTGAAAGTCTTTTAAGATCAAGTATCCCTCCGTTAAGGGACCATATTAACATGTTTCTCTAGGTATTTCTGAGATTGTGTTTAAACTCCTAGATGTAAAATTTTGCCCCTCAGATTGTATGTCTTTAGGGTGAAAATGTTAAGTAAGACGACGAGGGCGTCGTGTCTTTTTGGTTGGGAGGATGTTGCGGTCATCTCTCCCGCCGTCGTAAATCATCTCTCCCGCCGTCGGGAGAGAAAGAGAATCTCGCCCTAAATCTTTAGTCGGGGTTTGTTGTAGGCCTTGGGTGCGGACGCGCACCCTTGGAGTCTCCTCAATAAACTTAAAATGGAATATGATATATTGAGCTAATTGATATTGCGCTACTAGAACCAACGGGTCAACATCACCCGCTACAAATGGATCAAGATTCAAAACAATTGCATGCGCAGAATCTATAAGTCTTTCGTTGGAAACATAACGGTTGCCAAAGGGCGCATCGGCAGTAAAATGTCTTAAATCAAAAAATCAAATCCCTGGGCGTCTCGAAAAGCCAAGGTGCGCAAAATTCGGCCCGTTTGGTCTCAACTTATTAGCAAAAGAAACTTCCATGTCGATCTAGCCACCATGATACAATAAAATCGTCAAAAACGGAAACCGTAGTAACATCCGCTGTGGTTGAGCCAAATTACGCCAAGAAAATTAAGATTCAGTGCACTTGGAAAAAAAACTTTTCTTCTCAATTTTGAAAAGGTGGTGGTGAAAGGAAAAGTCATAGAAAGCGATGGAGTCGGAGCGTACCTTCGAGATTTCCAACCAAAATCCATTGCGAGAGCGCAAGAACCGCGACGCTCGGCCAGTTCGAAAAAAGTGCGAACAGAGAGAGGCGGAAAGAGAAGACCGTCTTTACTTGGCCTACAGTCGGAAATCCCATTACACAGTGGTACTGGGCTAGCTTTTTCTTGAGGAATTAGCATAAGGAAAGGCGGATTTTTGATTACAGTTTTGGTGGTTGAGCACTGCAGTAGACAGTGGAAAAGAAGGATTTTTTCCAGATAACTTGGAAAATATCAGTTTATCGGAAAAATAATGAGCACAATGTCGTATCAAAAATTGCATCGTAGCCGAGAAGATGAATTGTGTCGCGGAAAAATCAAATTGCTTTTCATTTCAGCGAAGCAATCGGCCCAGCAACATTGTGCTCATTATTTTCTCGACAGACTGATAAATGAGCAAAAACCGATGCAAAATTGATTATCACTAGTTCTATGCGATGACTAACTCCTTCAACGTCATTAGGCTATATTGTCGACACCTTGGTCAGCCTCTCTCCCAACCCTTTTTCGCGCTGAGTTCGAAAAAAATGAACTGGCAGTCTATTTTTAGCGCAATGTTTGTCCACAACGGGCTGGTCAAGAGAAATATTCTCTTCCGTTCGAGAGGTATTTCACTACAAATCGCGAGGAAATCTGGTGGTAGTCTTGACATCAAACGTGTTCAGTAAAAAAAATATTTATTTTGAAAGAACATCATTTTTGTTGTGTCATCATTTTTTGCATAAAACAGCTTTTTGTTGAAACATCCAACAAGAGTTGGATGGGCTGTAACAGATACTCAATTGATGATTTAGCACCTCGTTCTTTACCCTTCAGAAACATCGACCAATGAGCAAAATATAACATCGATCTCTTTTTCCCCTGGAGCTATATTATGATCACTCAGGCTTGGGCTTATCCATGCCCAGGTTTGTCATTTCAAAGGCTAGCCAATCCAAGCACTTGCGGGCAACCACTCTGCGGCAGAACCGAGAGATTCTGCGGGAATGCATGGGAATCAGCCAACATTTGCTTACAACGGAATGGATTTTGGCAGTTAGATGTTGCGAATTCAGTTTTGCAGGTTTATAAGTGGCTTGAATAGAATTTTGAGGGGTTCAGAAAGCATCTTTTGAAAACAAACTCCTGTAACTTTGAAAGCGGTGAATGAATTCAATAGATTACTTATCTTTAATAGGGAGTTACCAATACAAAATTTCTATCATACTACGTATTACATTACGATAGAAAAATCGTAATTCTACATATACGGTAAACGTCGGCTTCCGGCAAAGTTGGTCACGAGGTCCCAAGGTTTAACTAGGCTTACACCGACTTAGGCTCAGCCTCGATTAGGGCTAGCCTTGTTTAGGCTTAGGTATTCTTGGGCTTTGCAGTTTGAAAAGCGCTTCTATGTGCCCTTCAACTGACCGCCCGCAAACTGGCAGTGTGCGACGGCCAGAGCTACCATAAAACGCCTTTCGCATATTCCGTATTCCTTCAAAGTCTTTTGTATTTATCAAACAATTTATTCAATGTTCTCAAGTGTTCAATAAATTTTTGAACCGTCTTAGTACATCACTATCGGCAACAAATTGATCAAGTCTTTGATTGGCCGACGTGTTTCATTACCACTTTTATCCAAAGTATCATCGATTCTACGCACCGAAAAAGCCATTTCATTGTACTTGTCTGCCAAAAAATTCAAGGGGACCCGCATCACACTATCAGCCATATCCATGATAAGGTCGGTTGGGTTTAGGTTCACCTCTTCCCCAGCACTGTAAGCGGCCACAATGGCCATCGAAAACTTGACCATGGCTTGTTCGCCAGTCAAGTCATGGTGCAGCTGCTTCATTATATAGTCCAGAATTTTCACGGCCTTCTCGTGACGTGGACTCTAAATGAAAGAAAAAAATGATATAGTCATCATTACAGTAAGCCATAAAGAGATCATATGTATAATCAAAAGGACGATATCTGGTCACCTACATGTCTGATAGCTCTTAAAACAGTGATCGACTCATCCAGATAAATCAATTCAACATCCGAAGCATGCCTGCTTTTCAGAATCGCGCGGATTTCGACCAGCACATCGATATAAGCATGAAGTCTAGGGCCAAGTGGATCGTTGGTTGGAACACTGAAGAGTCGATCTTTTAAGTCCAGAAGTTTCGACACTTTAGCAAAGCCGCCATGCTTTTTCGCCAGTTGGAGACTCTGAAACAAAATTGTGATTGATTTGCCCTCACTTTCCCCGACACGGTAGCATATTATCAGTCTGTCGTGAAGATAATGAGCATTCTATCGCATCGAAAATCGCACCGCCGCCGAGAAAACGAGTTCTGTCAGGGAAAAATCATTACTTTACATTTGCTCATTATTTTCCCGACAGAGTGATATCCCTATACTTGGACTTCTGACAAGCGAAGCCGGAAGAGTTTCCGCAACGGCCTCAGGATTTGAGGTCGTACAATTATTTTGTACATGCAGTGGGGGACCTGATCCAATGGCAAAAAACGCACCATTTTGCATCCAGGAAGCACCAAAAAAAGTGGCAAAATACCTCCATCTCCAAGTGGAAAAACTCCGGTTTCAAAAGCCCGCCCGCTCTTGTTGCGAGGCACCCTTCAAAACGAAGTTTTTTCACTTGGAGAGGGAAGCATTTTGCCACATTTTTATACCTCCCGGACACAAAATGGTACGTTTTTTGCCACTGGATCCGGTCCCACTGTATAAGGCTCTCAATTTTCAACTCACCAAAAACCTGGTCTTCAGCAAGTGCACATGAATGTGTTCTCTGGAGAACGGCAGCTCAGCCAGTTGAAACATTTTATACAGGCTCTCAGCCAGTTGTTCATCATGGTTTATTGGACACGTTGCACTCTAAAACAGTTGATTTTAAGACTATTCAGCACTGTCTTGGCACCTTTTTTGTAGCCTAAAACTTACTTCGTAAGCGGCTAAAACGAGAAGGCCAAAAAGAACAAGCGATTTCATGATTGGTTGGTAACATTCATAATCGATCTGATAGTTTTATACTCCGAATACAGACTGCGTTCCATTATTATCCATTTAATTGCGATGTAAATCAGGGAGAGCGTTCAAATTGCATTGGTCTCTTTGGATCGACCACATCAAAAATATGATAATTACATCTTACAGACGGGAAATGTAATATTACTTTTTGGATGGAAACGTAAAAAACATAAAAATTAAATAATCACTACTCTCAGTCTGACGTGAAAATAACGAGCATAAAATCGCATCGGCGCTGACAAAACGAATTGTGCCGGCAAAATCAGGTTGACAACTACTTGCAACCCAATGCAGTGGCGGGATCGGTGCAGCGACATTGTGCTTATTATTTTCCCGACAGACGATACCAGAGCAAAATTTTTAAAATTCTATTTTCGAAATCCTAGATGCCCATATTTTGGCACAGTACGCTTAAAATATTGTAAGCATTACTTGTAGCGAAATCGTTTTTTTTCCGACAGACCGATAAAAACAATAACGATCCTGGAAGCACAACAAATGTGACCCTCTCATCTCCTCCAAATCTTGCACATGAATTCTCTATTCACCACATTTCAATCGTTGAAAATTCTGGCTCGCACTTGGCATCCGCCGTGAGCCTATTGATCGGGCTTTTTCCGAGAGAGTACGCAAAACGAGGAGAGTCCGTCAGAGAAATCTTGTGCTTCTGGCCGTATCTTGGCGAATTTCGGTCGGAAAAAACCTTTTCTTGTATAGCTAATACTTCCTTCATAAGTAAAAGTTATACTTCCTTCACAAGTAACTAACTTTGATGTTTTTGCTAGCCCAAAATCGTCGAAAAATGAAATTTTTTGCCGTTTTCCAACCCAAAAATTTCGATGGTTTCTGCAAAACGCTTCTAAGGCTTTCAAATAATAATTTTATCTCTGTACCAAACTATAATCTAAACTTTTTTGGTAAGTTTCATCAAAATCGAAGCCATAAAAATTCTAAAACTTTAATTTTTTGACCTCAGCTGCAGATTTTGATCCAATTTATCTCATCTGTTCGTCGGTTATGCAGATCTTTCAACCGAAACCAGCTGTGCTTTGTACGGAGCCTCTCACCGTGTGTGGAGGACGCGGAAGGGAAAGTGAACGCCATTCGTTTTTTTGCAGCGAAAAGCGAGCCTTTTTTCTCCTTCCATTCGGCATTTTCGAAGAAATTTCTCCGCTTTTTTCTCCCCCATTTTGACGAGTTTTTTAGGCCGAGACTGTTGGAAACGGCCACCTGGGTGGTGGTCTTTTGTTTCGACTTGAAGCTACAGCCCATGCGGTTCATTTCACACTTTTTCGCCCTGTTTTAGGGTCGAATTTCAAGAATTTTGACTAATTTTAGGTAAAGTTCTAGAATAATCTGCGAATTTATTGGCAGTTCAATGTGAACTTGTCCGAAAAGGAATGCTTTTTGTATTATACGGCTTTTCGGGCATCTACGGGGATATTAGACATTGAAAGCAACAGTTTTAGGTCAGTCTTTAGGCCGATATCAGATTTTCGCACCTTATCCATGGAAACTTGAGATTTTTGGCCGTTTTTACGTTTCACCCCTTCGTTTCCCGACGAGTTATCTTCCAAATGGTTGAAGAAGCGTCGAGTTTTGTGTGACTCTTCTCTTTTCTCGGCGCATCTAATTTTTTGAATAGCCACAAGTGCACCTTACTTGTTAGAGTTCCACGTGTTTTCCCGCGCCTATTTTCGAAGTTATTTCTTGATCCTAATGTTTCTCGTTTTCAGCAAGGCTTCTGCTCCCTTTTTTCTTCTTTTCTAAGTTATTTTTTGGACGTTTTCTGTTTTGTTTGGATTTTACAGTTATTATGGCGGTAAGTTCAACTTGGTGGTTGTCTTCTTGAATTTTAGGTAATAAAATCACATAGAAAGCAAGCGCAGAGCTGGCTCTAAGTTGTACACAAAGGTTCTTGCAAGATATTTCGAAATTTTTCGAAAAATCGTAAGACCAGATTTGCTTGCCTAGTGCAATGTGGGAAATCGTTCTAAACCGTCAAATTTCAGTTCAACGCAGCCTACACTTCTTATGCCGGTTATGGAGGGTTTACCAATGGAGGAGGAGAAGATTCGTTTGGTGGTGCCGGTGCCTACAACCCTCGGTACCATTTCCAAGCCGCCCAGAACGCGGGCTTCAATCTCTCGGCCGATGATGGCCAGCCTCGGGTCTTGTAAGTGATTAATTTTGTTTTCTGGACTTTAGGCCCAGTTGGGATCGGTTTGCAATATAAAATTTTGATAATAGCCCTAGTGCAATATACCGGCCTAGTTTAACACAAAACTTTCTTCAGATATGTGGGAAATTTGGACACAAGCGTCACTGAGGAGTTTGTTGCCACTCTGTTCAGCCAAATGGGTCGATTGGTGAAGACCAAGGTCATTTTCGATGTAAGTATGTTGTTGCCCATGAACAACAACTCAACCATTCCGTCTCTTAAGTTTCTTTTTTTTTATTCGATTTTTTGATGATAATTCTTCTTATTAGTAACGATAATTGTTCTGTTACAGCGCAGAGTGTAGAAAGATTGGAAGCGAAAAGATACTTGAGCCGTGAGCTTTTTCACTTTTACATTTTTCATTTTTATTTTTTGAATTATTATTATGAGTCTTGTAATTTATGTGTTCATTTGTTTGGAGACGTTTCTGGGCCTTCGTAATTGTCCGTATTTCAGACGACTTCTGATCCGTATGCTTTTGTGGAATTTGCGGACCACAATTCCGCAACTCAAGCGCTACAGGCGATGAACAAACGAATGTTGTTGAACAAGGAGATGAAAGTCAACTGGGCCACTCAGCCTGGCACCCAAAGCAAGGTCGATACCAGCCGTAAGTGTTTTTCTGTAATTTCTTAAAGTTTAGAAGAGTATATTAGGAAATGCAAAAATATATTGTGTAATGTAATTTATCTCCTATTTTCAGGGCATTTCCATGTTTTCGTTGGTGATTTGTCCCCGGAAGTCGATAACAAGCAGTTGAAGGATGCGTTTGCCCCATTCGGAGATGTTTCGTATGTTAACCATCTTTTATTGGACATTGTTTAAAATTTTAGTGATGCCAAGGTGATTCGTGATCCCCAGACGACTAAATCGAAGGGCTATGGGTTTGTCTCCTACCCGAAGAGGGAAGAAGCCGAACGCGCCATTGATCAGATGAACGGACAATGGCTTGGACGCAGAACCATCCGCACCAATTGGGCCACTCGCAAACCCAATGATAATGAAGGCGGTCCCCGCGGCCCCGGCGGACCACCACACGGACACCATCATCGCGGAACGTATGAGGACATCTACAACCAGGCTGGCCCCGACAATACCTCGGTTTATATTGGAAATATCCCACCATCCTCGACTGATGATGATGTGAGACAAATATTCAAAAGGTTTGGAGCTGTATTGGATATCCGCCACTTCAAGGCGCAAGGATACTCTTTCGTCAAGTTCGATTCGAAGGAATCAGCGGCAAAGGCGATCTTCGAAATGAATGGAGCTGAATTTATGGGACAGAACATCCGATGCTCTTGGGGAAAGGCTGATGTAAGCGTTTTTGATTGTTTTTTGTTGACTTTTAGGGCTGAAAGTGGCATGAGAGGTCAAGAAATGGAGGAGCAGAGAGCTTATTGTTTGAAATTTGAAAAAAATAGGATAAAAGAATTGGTCATGTTGTTTTTGATGAGGTCTTGAATTTTTTGTTGAAGGTTGCGTCAAGCTTCGATGTTTTTTGAAATCTGAAGGTCACAGAATTGAATATGTCATAGGGCATCAAGAAATGTAATTTGGTCGATTTCAGAGTCAACGTGCAGCCTCTCACGCCAACAACAACGCAGCAGCCCATCTTGGCGGCGCCGCGGCCGATCCCGCCGCCATGGCCGCCTACGGTTCGTATGGAACTCCAACTGCCCAGCAACAACAACAGTATTGGCAGTACTACCAACACTACTACAACAACCCGGCCGTCCAACAACAATGGCAGGCATATTACGCCCAAGCGGGCCGCGCCGTCCCCGGCGCTCCAGGCGCTCCTCCAAGTGCTGTTCCTCCAGCCGGCGCTGCCCCAGTCTCCGCTCCAAACCCCATCAAGTACGAATAAGAGACGGAGGATGCCGTGCTAGAGAAAAGTCATTATATTTTTTTTTATTTGACTTATAAATTTTTCGTTTTTTCCCATTTTTTCGCTTTTTTGACCGTCGAGGAAGTTTGTCGCTCAAAGTCTCGACTTTTTTCTTGGATTTCCTTGGTGAATTAGCTTCCTGTCTTTGGCAAGTTGATATTCAAATCCCCCGCCAATTGCATGTTTTCCAGCGAATTTCACTGATTTTTCATTGTTATCCCATTTCCTAGCGTCATTTTTTGGATTAATGTTTGGTTTTTTGTCCTTTTTTCGGATACATTTCAATTCTTCGAATTCCTAAAGCCTAAATATTCTAAATTAGTTCCATACCCGACTATTTTACTTGAGAACTTTTACAATGTTACTCTTTTTTGGATTCCTTTTTGTGTTTCAGACCTCTTTTCTTTGTTATTTTTGGATTATTTTTCGATTTTCAATAAACATTTTATCAAAAACAGTTTTTTTTTAATTTTGTAAGTAGTATATTGTATTCTACAGAGTATTTAAAATCAAATTTAAGGAAAATGTAACGACTTTTTGGCCATTTTAGTGTAAAAATGTCGAAATTGATCCATGATGACGACGATTTTGTCGAATTTGACTCAAAAGACTTCAAAACTGACGCCAACACCCAACGCGAAGCGCAAGATGAGATGGACAATGCATGGGAGAGCACGTACGACACAAGACCAACGAATTCGGCGTTCCATCAGCAAATCCGTGAGAGCATTGCGCAATATGCATCGGAAAACAAAGGACAACAATAATTTGCGATGACTTTTTCAATAATTTATTTGATTTTGAAAGTAGAATCGATTGAATTTTTGTTTTACACGATGTTATAAATCAGATATGCAATCGATTTGAGAAATAATTTATCAACAGAAACCCCAAATACGATAATGTTTAGTCATCTTCTGGATAGATCTCACTTCCTTCGATATCATCAACTTTTTGGTCACCTTCCTCGTCATAGGGGTCTATCGTATCTTCATCATCGTCGCCGATGTCTTCTGAGCTGTGTTCCAAGCGGCTTATAGTCTGATTCACAGTCCTTTGAAGCTTCGGCTTGGCTGACGCCCTCTTCTTTGCGGCCTCTTCCTCCAACGCCTTCTTCAGCCGAACATCGTAGAATACGGACTCGAACAGCTTTGCTGAAATTTTCAAACAAGATTTTTCGACGGCTCAGCTCTTACACTTGAAGAATTGAGTGAATTTAGGGTAGTATCCAGAGATTTCTTCTTGAACGCCCTTGTCCAACAACTTGAAAGACTCAATGATTTCCACTCCGTAGGCGGCAGTGGAAAGATAAACCTAAAATCTCGACGATTATAATGCAAATTCATCGATGAAATTCGCTTTACTTTGATTGAAACCCACCTCTTTGAAGAATTCCGACGCTGTTGGACTCATTTTTCTCATCAGTCTATGGTACTCGCCGGTTCCGCTTTCAACCAGACTTTCCAGGAATCGATTGAGGTTGGGCGATTCTTTCGCAATCTCATCGAAAACTTCGTTGAAGTTCTGAAACTTGGAGTAGTGTTTGAAGACCTCAATCGCTTTCTTCAAATCATCACTGTCAAATCTTGGAGCTGCGGTTGTTGTGGAGGAAGAGGGCGTTGATGAGACTAAAAGGATTTTTTTTAGAAACGGACTTACACTGACGGACCTGATCCAGTGGCAAAAAAACGTACCATTTTGCATCCGGGAAGCATCAAAAATGTGGCAAAATGCTTCCCTCTCCAAGTGAAAAAAAAACTTCATTTTGAATGGCAAGCTGTTTTCCCTCACAAAAGGAGTGGGCGGGGGAAGCATTTTGCCACATTTTTGATGCTTCCCGGATGCAAAATGGCACGTTTTTTGCCATTGGATCATCTCCCCTACTGTAATGTTGAAATTTGTAAGGAACTAACAAGGAAACCGCCACAAGTGCGACGGTCAGAATTTGTAAATTTTGCACACAGTTTGGGCATAGGCCATGCAAAAATTTCGATTCCTGAAAGTTTCTCGTGATCTAAGACTCCCGGTCGTTTCTGCAAAGCGCGAGCTTAAAGTCTCACACATCTCTTGAAGAAATAAACCTTAACGTTTCGTGTGGCTTACCTCTCTTAGTGGACGACCTGCCAACAGTTGAATTAGTCGCAGAAAACTTTGCTGACACTGTTGTCGAATGACTTGTAGGTGAAGAGGCTGCTGTCGAATCACTTGTAGACGATGAGTGAGCCGTCCTTTTAGCCGTGAAGAACTTCGACTTCCCAATATTCACAATCTGTCTGTTCAAGTCGCTGTTACCGTCAACAATCAAAATTAACAAACAAATTACGGTAATAAACATGACAGCCCCGCTGCGCTAGTCTACTCGGTCGCTTTTTTAACAATACTCTAAGTTGATTGAAAAAAAAGAATACTTTAATATAGAAACAATTACGTTCTTTGTCACTTTCTACGTGTGCAACAGCTGCACAAACAAGGCGTAGGAAATCTGGATGTTAACTTTGGGGATAAGGCTGACATTATTCTGTGTTTTTCGTATGCATGTGGAAGACCCTGAAGGTAATGTTTGATCAAATGGGCCTGAGGCAAAGGAAGAGAGAGCCTCGAACAATCGACGAAAAGCTAGTTTAGTGTGCAATGAAGAAATTAGTGACTTGGGTTGTTGTTCTTCTTGGCTTGGTGAGCCTGACTGATGGACAAGCTGGGACGTTGATTCAGTACATTCCTCCGGCGGTTCAAGGTAAAATTTGTGTTTGATTGCTGGCCTGGGAACCAGATGCATGACTATGAAGGGGGGAGGGCCTAGCTATATTTCAGCTCAGCACGCAACAAGCCATACGGTGAAGCCTAAGCTCTCGCATAACAAAACCTGTCTAAAACAGGCGATTCTAGGGTCCCAGAGCCATGCCTAGGCATAAATAAAAATCCTCCGTACAACTCTTCTACAAAGAACGAATTTTTTCTCCCCTTGCAATGTGTTGTACATAGATTCCATTATGCTTTTTATAATTTCAGCCGCTCTCCCGACAAAACTTGCCCAATCCCTCAGTGTTCTGACTTGGCAAGATGTCAGCAAGGCGGCCTCAATTATTGATATCATTCCCAAATATACAAGTGTCAGCCAATTCTTGAGAACCATCGATATCAACACTCCTCAACTGAGCGCCGTCCTGAGCAGCAATATTAATGACCAATACACTCAATACATGCAGACTGAGGCTGGTCTGAGCGAGAAGGCCAAAGCGTACATAGCAAAGGTGGGCCTCTTCAGCGTGTTTGCAGTTTATGCTTCCGCTAGGAACTTTTAAAGGTCGAGTTTTAGCTGAAGGAAATGGCCAAGGACGCTACCAAACAAGCCAAGGCGTTGTACGAGTCGAAGGATCCCGCAACCAAAGCGAATATTCAGCTGACATTCCCAACAATGACAAAGATTATTGGAAGTAAGTAATACATGTATGGCTCGAGGCTTACAAATTTTTCTATTCCCAGAAAATGCGTCACAATAACACTTGGTTTAAAATGTGCCAGTGGTGTAAACAACGGCTTTAAATGGCTGCAGGAACTTTTCGGAGCACGCCAAGAAATTTTGGGTATTGCAAAGGTCCTCGCCATTCTGAAAAATTTAGAAAATCCGTTTCTATGCATTGCGCAAGTCTCCAAACTAAACTTTTTTCGGTATTTTATGGGGTACTCCTACTCATATTGGCCATTGTTTATACCACTGGCGCATCTTAAATTGATGTCAATGTAACACATTTTCTAGGTCACAGAGATTTGCAAGTCTCGAGCCATATACAGTTTTTTCACACAAACCTTTCTATTCACCTCCATTTTTCTAGGTGAGCAAGTGCAATCAATGTTGGCCTAGATCGTCAACGGTCGTCTACAGACTCGAATTCATTCTGAATTCTTTATGCCCTCTTTTATGGAACTTCCTAATGCATTCAAAATTAAAAATAAACATGATAGAAGTCCTGATCTTTGCTCGTTTTGGGGTTCCCCACTTCTCACATTAAGCCGATTAATTCAACCTTTAAAGTCTGCTAACCTCGTGTTCGTAGACCACTGATGATAAGAGCAAGTGAACAAACAACCAAGTCTAGGATTATATTTGGTAATTAGTATTGATAATAATGACTTAAAAAGGCCAAGAATCACAAGGAAAGGGCATTCCTGATTTTGAAGGTACAATGAAGTGGGTTACGGTAGTCTTGGCGGTGGTCACAGCAGGTAAGTAGCGTTGTTAATGGGCGGCTACTGTATGATGACGTGAGGTGTTTCATAGCTATCGGCATCGTTACTTTGTGTTCATTATTTTCCCAACAGACCGATATGTCTTTTATAGATTTTGCTTCTTTCAGTCACCGCAAAAACCGCTGTATGGACGGAACGAATCCACTTTACCGACCGGACCTACAACAATTTAGAAGTCATTGTGGACCTTGCTTCAACAGACTCATTTCTCATCGAAGGCCGATGTGAGAATTGCCCGTTCCGCGGGATAAACCGTCGATTTTATCCAGAAAAATCGTCGACGTTCGAAAAAGCGGGTGGCCGATTTGGCCAAAAGTTTGATGAAGATCTAAACATCGCCCAAGGAGGAATTAGTGGGTATATTGGAGAAGACTTGGTTGTAAGTTACATGCGGTAACGGCAAAATAAAAATTCTTAGGGATCCTCGAAGACGCTTCGAGGCAAATTCGGCCTGGTTAAACGGCTGGATGGAACTTTTGATCCTGCAACAACTTTGGAAGCTGAGCGAGTCGCTGGTCGCATTGGGCTTTCCTTAAACACCAGCAGCGATATGAACTTGCTGGAGCATTATTTCGAGGGAGTTAGTCGTAAACTGGTGTGTTTTGCCCCAAAATGCGTGGAGAATAGGTAAATGATCGAGCTTACTTTATTCAATCGTTTCTTAGCAACAAAGTCGATGAATGCCAGACAATTTTGTTCAAAGGTCAATTCCCTGTTGATGGATATGAAAATTATACCGCAGCACGAGTTGAGGACAGCAGATCGGGTCTTTGGCAATTCAAGGTGACACATTTTCCATTGTTTTTTCAATGCTAACAACGCTTGCCAAATAAAGTCATCATTTCCAGGTGGACTCGTTCAAAGGCCCCTCAGTTCAAGCCCACTCTTTCAACGCCATTTTGTCGACAACAACACCGGACCTTGTTGTTCCCAAAGACGTTTACGAGGCATTCTCCACACATTTTAATGTCCGACAAGATGAAAACGACAGAACAGTTGATTGTCGACATCGCTATGAGACTTCCCCTGTGGTAGTTACAGTTAACCGTGTAGAAATGCCAATCCAGGCAAGGGACTTGATCAGTTACGACATTTGGACAAAAACCTGCTCTCTTCGAGTGCGGCCAGCGGAAAATCTCGATAGAAACACATGGATTTTTGGCAGCGTCTTTACGGACTCCGTCGGAATTTGTCTGGATTTTGATGAGAGAAACATTAACTTCTTAAAAGTGTTGTAGATATTGATTTATTTCCTCATATAAAAATTAGTAAAAACGCGATAAAAGCTTTTCTATTTCGATGAAAAAACTAATTAGGTATGGTTGAAAATTATTGCGTTTGTTTCCTGAAGTCGCTGTGCGGGCCAGCCTTGTCAGACCAGACACGTTGAGGCTATAACTCAAAAAGTTGTCGGTCTGGAACCTCGAGTACTACCTGCCACTTTTATATGCGTATTGCGGTTGCACAAAAACGCGCAAGTTACCATCCGCCGATACGAAGGGATCAGCGCCAACACCGAGAGTGAATTTAGGATCGGTATAAAGTATATTGCTGCGGTGAGAATGTAGCCGGCGGTCACAAAGTCAATGTCGACAAAAATGGAGAGGAGCGCCGTGACGATAGGCAGAAGAAAGATAATCACGGGATATAAGGCCTGAAATGGCACGTGTTTGAACCCTTTTCTGTCGGATGCTTAAAGGGAAGTGCTCAGAGATTGCCGACAAAGGTTACCTGCATTATCATCGTCTTGAGGATAGTGCGCTGTGCGTTTTGAACTTGCGCAGCGATATGTAAGTGTCTCACATGAAGTTGACGCCACGTTTTGTATCCAAAATACAAAACCATGCTGTAGAATGTAGTGATGATGATTTGGTAGTGAGCCATCTTCACAACGGAAACCGGGGCGTACTGAAAAACTGAATATGTCTGGGCAAACATTACCCCTGTAGGGTACACCTTGACCGCCTAGTCACGCCCCTGTTCTTGCTTCTCAAATTGTTTACCGATTCCCGGCCTAATTCTTGCATCAGCTAAAAACTCACAGAAAACACAATGAATGGAGGAACATTGCCGTTATACAACTCAATCTGACGAAGGAACGGGTAGTAAGGAGCCACATTCTCCGTCACCACGCAAGCATAAGTATACTCAACCGCCACCCAAAGCGTGAAGCCGAGGAACGTGAGGAGATACCGGGTTTGCGACCACGTAGAGGTCTTGCAGAAGACTTGATATCGATACCAAAAATGGACCATATGACAAAGCGCCAAAAGTATGATTGTGTTTGTATATAATAACATCAAGACGTTCGTAGTGAAATTGTCCAAGGCCCGGAGTAAAGGGTTTTCGTTGACGAGAAACAGCAAGCCCCGATATTCGATTGCTACCTAAAGAAGAAGCATGGTGATGTTACGAGCCAGTTTTCTCTCACCGGAAAGTTTATAACCGTTGTGATGATAAACCAAATATCCATACAGGTGTTAAACGCTACGATTTTCGCATAACTCCGCAAAGCTTGCAGCTTCCTTTGGCACAACTTGATTGACAAACCCAAAACCAACAACGACAAACACGTTGAGACCGTGCAAATCACTACCACATAAACTACGTAGACCTCTCGAACATGCCATTCCATGGCATAACCTAAAACGGTAAATAAGAACCCGATGAAATGATAAATTAAACCGTGTAGTCGCATGGGAACAGCTCGCAACAGCATAAGTCATTGACATTGCTCGATGCTCCTGCTTTCCCACAAAAGTGCTCGAAAACATGTACTTTGTGGAAAAGAATTTCCGGATATCGTAAAACTATTACAGAAAACTAAATGTCAAAAACATTGCCCTCCCATAGGCATCAAAAATTAGCGTTATAATAGAGAAGTGAACTTGGAGAAAGTGCTCCAATGTGGCTCTTCAATTGTATAAGTGGCCCACCCTGCACACTAAGAGCACAGTGCAGAAAAATTGTCTTTTTTAGTTGTTGTGTTTTTGAAAAGGGCAATCGAAAGCACGGTGCACGCCAAACTGAGGAGTCCGGTGACCGGAATAGACACTTCGCTATCGGTTTTTGACATTTCGTCTTGATTTCACAGAGAAGTCAGAGAAAAAGACGCGCAAAAACGTACTCTCTCGCCCCAAAAAATCCCCATTTCTTCCCCAACTAAAAGCATGCAAGTTCTCCGAGCTGCGCCCTATGATTTTCAGCAAACCTTCAGATTGTGCATTGGCCCTAACTCACCGGAGAATTTGAGCCTATCTCAGTTTGACGTGCGGTGCACTCTTTTTTTGCACTCGGCAAATTTTTACCGCGCGACACCTCGGCGAAACGCCAAATGCATGCGCCCGCACGGTGCGAAAACATGTCGCGACACTTTGGCCCGCCTAGTATTAAGTATATTTTTTAACATTTAAAAGACGATTTCTGAGTCAGTGGATCAGCCGTCTGTTAGGGGTGGACATAGGAAAAAATCGATTTTCAGTTTTTTGCATTAAAATGACTGTTGGAGGGTGCTAAGCAAAAGCGAACAATATTTTTTCTCAAAACCTTCATCAAGGTAGATTTTTTTACAATTTATTGTTTTAGAAGTAATCGCCTCCAGCTGTCGTATCTTACCTTACTGGGCGATGATTTGACGGTTACTGAAGTTTTTGACCCTTGCGAAGACGATGGAATCATTATTTTTCCGATTTGCCTACTGTAACATACCGTAATACCCTATCGGCCGCTAAAAAACGGCCGTAGAATCTTTCTTTCTGGAAATTTCACAGGCGATTTTACGATTTTTGGAATCAGCATAAAATTCTGCTCTAGAGGCAATCAAAAAAGTTCAAAAAAAGCTGCGACAAATTTCGTGGTATAGTGGTTAGTGGTCGGGACTACCAATCCAGCGACCCGGGTTCGAGTCCGGCTGGGTGCGAATATCGAAAAGAAGTCGGAAATTAAATTTATTGTGATTCAGAGGATTGTATATTTTGCCACGAGCAATTATTAATGTCAATGGTAGCTGGATTCGAGGTTAAAACGGGATTTATATAATTTTAGGGGCTCAATACATGAAAAAATAAAAGTGCTTCAAACCGGTTGAAATTGATAATACTTATTCTAAGGGCTATTCTAAGACACTTTCTCGTTAACTTTTTTTGGTAGCTTACTGTTCCATGCACTACAGTAAGATAAAGATTTTGTACTTAAGCGGGATTTTCTTCAAAATTGTTGCATCCAGTCTCGAGTTTTTTTGACTAGTTCGTTCAAACAGCAACGAAGGTCCACTATAGGTATACAAAATAAATTTTCGCTACACTTCCAGTGTGTCTTGATATCATCGCTATCTGACAAAACTTCGTGAAATAACCCGGTTGTTTCAAACTGTGTGGCCATAAAAAAAATTTTGTATGCAAACCAACTCGTTATTAACCATCTCTATCAATATGGTGATAGTCCGAGCTCTCTACGCCCCGTGTTTGCGAAAAATAAAATTGGACTTCACGTTACAGTAATCCATGTTACAGTAAGTTACCAAAGAAAAGTTAACGAGAAAGTGTCTTAGAATAGCCCTTAGAATAAGTATTATCAATTTCAACCGGTTTGAAGCACTTTTATTTTTTCATGTATTGAGCCCCTAAAATTATATAAATCCCGTTTTAACCTCGAATCCAGCTACCATTGACATTAATAATTGCTCGTGGCAAAATATACAATCCTCTGAATCACAATAAATTTAATTTCCGACTTCTTTTCGATATTCGCACCCAGCCGGACTCGAACCCGGGTCGCTGGATTGGTAGTCCCGACCACTAACCACTATACCACGAAATTTGTCGCAGCTTTTTTTGAACTTTTTTTGATTGCCTCTAGAGCAGAATTTTATGCTGATTCCAAAAATCGTAAAATCGCCTGTGAAATTTCCAGAAAGAAAGATTCTACGGCCGTTTTTTAGCGGCCGATAGGGTATTACGGTATGTTACAGTAGGCAAATCGGAAAAATAATGATTCCATCGTCTTCGCAAGGGTCAAAAACTTCAGTAACCGTCAAATCATCGCCCAGTAAGGTAAGATACGACAGCTGGAGGCGATTACTTCTAAAACAATAAATTGTAAAAAAATCTACCTTGATGAAGGTTTTGAGAAAAAATATTGTTCGCTTTTGCTTAGCACCCTCCAACAGTCATTTTAATGCAAAAAACTCAAAATCGATTTTTTCCTATGTCCACAGCTGACGCACTGACTCAGAAATCGTCTTTTAACTGCTCTTCAAAAACCCAGCGCAGAAAAGGTCACACTATTGTTGCACTTCCCCCGTCAGAGTTAAACCCCTGTTTCAGTCGCCGTCTTACTACATACAATACAATTTCAATTGCCGATAAATTCGTTAAGTTTCAAGAAAAATAGAGGGAATTGACAACGGTGTGCGGATGTCGGAAAAAGTGCCAACTTTAATGTTTAGAATGTATGTAAAGCTCTGTTGTTTAATTCAAAAAATTTCAGCCAGTAAAAGATTACCCAAATTTTGACTCTCCTATTATGAAACCCCAACCCACACAAATTTTGGTTTGAGTAGTTAAGAACTCTAGTGCAAAAGGTGCTGAGAGTAGTGAAGTGTTGACAACAAAAAATGAACCCTCTGCTGCAATAAGTGTTCCTTATTACCTACAATTACTCAAACTGTGCCCGTCATTTTGTCCATGCATGTTTGGGCCGTGCCGATGGAAGTACGGAGGAGTTGAATAAACTTGTGCTTTGTTTTTCCCGTATAATCATGCGACGGAACGATGGGACCATAGTGAACACAATCGCCGAATTGTAAATCGGCATCATTGCGAAGGCGATCCCGAACATGTACGTAAAATTCTGCGGGTTCAAGCTGAACAACGCAGAGACAATGTACAGTCCGGAGGGCAAGAGTACATTGATGAGGGGGTACAACGCCTAAATCAAATATATAAACCAGTAAGACCAATAAAGGAGTAATAAGTTTGTTCAAAATTCAATTTGTAGTGCAGGTGGGAGTAGCGAAAATAGGCGGTCATAAAAGGGAAGTAAACACGGGTTCAAAAATTGACACCTGCAACGCCATTGTTCTCAACATCTTCCGCTGGGCTTGCAACGTTTTCGGCGAACCCTTAAAGTGTCTTCCACGAAGAGCTGCTTGCGTTTTGTAGCCAAAGAATATAACCATCCCGTAAAAAGTTGCAATGACTATTTGATAATGAGTAAGACGAATTGTAGCTGTAGTACTGCTCTGAAATTCGAAAAGAAATCAACTTCTATAAGCCCAATGTAAGTTGTAGTCTTACTCCAAATACGCAATACGGCAATGTCGAGAGCGGATTGTCGAAAAAACCTTTTTCTGCCAATAAACTTGAGTAGTCATTTCGATCTGTCATCAGAACGCACGCTAAAACAAAGTGCCCAATTATCCAAAGAAACAGAGTGAAATAGCGACGGGCATATTGCGTCCGGGACCAGCCATTTTGATTACAAATAAGGTCGCAACGATACCAAAAATGAATTGCGTGAGTCAAAATCATCGCCAACATAAAACAATTGAAAGACACGATAAGTGCATTGGCCAGTGGCTGCGGAACATTGTGTAGAAGAGGATTCTGCACAAAGATTACCATCACTCCGTAGCTGACGACAGTAAGCTAAAATTCACTCTTATCCTAGCTGTTGTCTCCCCTTACCGGAAAAACTACGATATTAGTGACAGTAAAGCAGAGATCAACTGTGGCATTAAACAGAACAATAAATCCATATTCTCGATGATCCTTAGATGCTGTCCGACAGAACATATACGAAATTCGTATCATAGTTAGACACATAATCAATGAAATTGCAGTCACGGCAACTTGGCAGTAGAAATATATTGTGCTTGCGCCAATTACGGTCATTGCAGGTAGCACTGATTAAATAACCGAGTTCAAATGTATAAAACAAAGAATTTAAAACACATATCTCTAATGTTTATAATAGTGAATTTAACGCGACACATAGTTAAAGAAGTGAGATAGCGCAAGCTCGCCGTATTATATAGAAATCAGAAATTCCAGCTGTCTAAAGGAATTTGTCGCTGAATTTTTGATGAGTGTCCAATTACAATCAAATTGGCAACTAATTACTTGTTTTTCGTAGAAATAAGCAAAAATAACTCTTCATTAACACAATGAGATCAGAAATTAGTAATGGTAAAATTATAAAAAAAGTACAACCGAGGCGCACTTCAAACATCTGGCTACGGTATAGAATTTTCTGCATGATTTCTTAATGATTTCTAGACAAGACCCGAGTTCAATTCGAAGAAAGAGCAACAGCAGGGACGGAGAGTAGGTGTATGAATAGAGCACCAAGGTGGTTCACAAGGTGCGATTCTCAGATTTTCTAGTATGCATAAAAATTTTTATAGGCTGCATATTAATTTCTAACAAGAAAAGAGCCGATATTCTCGATGATCATGCGACGAACGCTGACTCAATTTACAAGAAAAATAAATAATAATCACGAATGACCAAAAGGAGATCATAGTTCTAGGTCTTTCGGCAAGTTACGGACTGATTCCTGACGTCTGCATTTTGGGAAAAGCCAAGATGCAAGCGACAGCCAAAAAACCTATTGCAAGATGCAAAAATAAAGAAATTGCACAAAGGAAACTATTTGTTTTCGTACAGTGCGTGTCGCCGATTTCAGTCCGTCCACTTTCCGGATGGTCTAGCAACTGTAGCTTGGGCGTAGAAATACACACAGTGTTCGCTCAGCGGACATTTTCAATTTTGGGTAACGGAAAACAGGAAGGGGGAATACAATGTGGCAAACAAGATTAGGAAATGAGCATTTGGAGCTTCAAGTACGATCTCCAGCTAATTTTCGCGACAACTCATTTTGGGTTGCTCGAATTTATGATCATTTTGAGTTTGTATTATAGTATGACAAAATTTCCAGGCCACCGCATAACATATCTTTTAGATATTTTCTACTTTCCAAGTGATCTTTAGAACATCTCTTATCATATTCCGTCATTTCTCGTCATCACCCAAACGTAATATCGTAATGTGCAGACAGACGAAATAATAGCTTCCATAAAAAGCCTTTCCAAAATCCAAGTTCAACAAGAAATAATCAAAACGCCTACGGGTGGGAATCGTGCAATTGACAGGCGCGCCACTTCAACGACGCCTCGGATGGGCCGTCCCGCTTTTCGGGAGTTATTCGAACATTTTGCCGAAGAAGGAACTATCGGATATACGGTAACTCTTCTTTCGGAGGCTTGCTTTAACCGTCCTTTTACTCGGCTCGATTTAGTCAGTTTGCGTAATTTCAGGCCAGATGGTCTACACATTCGGAAGCGTCTTGAATAACGTCAACTCTTACTATCAAGACAAGACAACAAAACTAAAGCAGTCGTTCTCACCAAACAGTAAGTCCATTTTGTTGCACTGAGATTAAAAGTAAACTGCCTTTGCTATAAATGCGATACAGTCGAACGATTTCTGTAGCTCAGAAACAAATGTACTCTTATCTACTGATCTCCTTTTTCCTTTAGGAGCTCAATCTCCCTCTCAAACATCAGATCTCGAGCCATCTCCAACTTCATCATCATCAATGAACGGCATTCCGCCAACGAAGCCAAAGCCGCAACCTCCAACATTTAATACACCGGCATTTCCGCCTGCGCCGTTGTCTGCACCACCGCCACCTCCGCCAAGACCTTCGCCAGTCCCACCGTTAAAAATTCATACGGATCGCCCTGATTCAATTGACAGCCGAAGGAATTTGAACATGTTCGATGACTTGACCAAGGATGGCGAACTTCAACGACTGACTGACCAGCTGAATAGACTAAGACCCGTCGACGAGCCAGTACGACGGACATCGGCCCCAAGTACGATGACAACAGCGACCCCGGCCGCTCCAGGAAGTGTCGGGAACCGGCGGTACTCCGAGGAATACAGGGACCGCAATTACCGTTGGTTTTTTGTACTTATTATCAAAACTTTCATGAATATCCTAACTGTCAATTTACAGACAACGCGGTAACTCCGGCGCAATTCCGGATCATAGGAAAACAAATGATTGATTTCATCGCGAATTACATGGAGAACGTCCACAACCGGCGAGTTGTGCCTTCTATTGAGCCCGGCTATCTTCGCGAGCTGTTGCCAGAGAATCCACCATCCCAACCCGAATCCTACGACAAGGTAATGCAGGACTTTGAAGCCTACATTATGCCCGGGGTAACACATTGGCAACATCCCAGATTTCACGCCTATTTTCCTGCGGCTAATTCCTATCCAGCACTGTTAGCGACAATGTTGTCCGACGCCTTGGGGTGCGTTGGCTTTTCGTGGGCGGCCTGCCCGGCGATGACTGAGTTGGAAACCATTATGCTGCAATGGCTGGGAGAAATGATTGGTCTCCCTGAAGAGTTCCTACCCTTTACGGAAAACGGAAAGGGCGGTGGTGTTTTGCAAGGTAAATTTCGCTTTTACCGTTTATCCCTTACTTTCAACCGAGATCTCGTTGAATCCTTATTATTTAAATTACAGGATGTGCCAGCGAATGCAACTTTGTCGCTTTGCTGGCTGCCAGATTTGAGGTCATGAAAGAGTTGCGACAACGGTTTCCTTTTGTAGAAGAGGGACTTCTCATGAGTAAATTGATTGCTTACTGTTCAAAAGAAGCTCATAGTTCGGTTGAGAAGGCGGCAATGATTGGAATGGTGAAGCTACGAATTCTGGAGACCGATTCAAAATATCGCCTGCGAGGAGACACTCTTCAAGCGGCAATTACAGTAGGTTTTGGCTGATTTTTTATGACAAAACACTACTTTTCAGGAAGACCGCAATCTTGGGATGATTCCGTTTTTTGTTTCGACAACTCTCGGAACAACCTCTGTCTGCTCCTTCGACGTTCTAACTGAGATTGGCCCGGTTTGTGCTGAAAATGATCTGTGGTTGCATGTTGATGCGGCCTATGCGGGATCAGCAATGATTTGTCCTGAATTCCGCCATTTAATGAACGGAATAGAGTATGCCATGTCGTTCAACACTAACCCAAATAAATGGATGTTGGTAAACTTTGACTGCTCGACCATGTGGGTCAAAGACCGCTTCAAGTTAACGCAAGCCTTTGTTGTCGATCCGTTATATCTGCAACATTCATGGACCGACAAAGCCATTGACTACAGGCACTGGGGCGTGCCGTTGAGTCGAAGATTCAGGTCGTTGAAGGTCGGTCACAAAGTTTCAAATGTTCAAAAGGCCATTTGGCATTGGAATTTGTTACTCTTTGAGGCCTTGTAAAATATTTTTTATCCGATTAATTCTGCAATTATTAATTAACCTCAAAACTGTTTCAGCTGTGGTTCGTCATTCGTATGTATGGTGTGGAAGGATTGCAAAAATACATTCGTAATCACGTCCGGTTGGCGAAAAAGTTTGAAGCCCTCTTACGCGCCGACGACATGTTCGAGATAATCGGGGATGTTCACGTTGCCTTGGTCTGTTTCCGACTCAAGGGCTCCGATGAACTCAACCAAAAACTACTTACAAAACTCAACTCGAGTGGTCGGATTCATATGGTACCGGCCTCGTTGAACGACCGGTTTGTGATCCGGTTCTGTGTCTGTCATGAGCATGCAAATGAACATGACATTATGACAGCATATGACATTATAAAACACGTCGCCGTGGGGCTACAATGTAAGCAGAATTAGGAGTGTATATTATGATTGATGTCGTACTGTAATTGGTCACTCGTTTTGTTGTTGTCAAAATAGAGGCATTTTTTACCCCGTGGCTTCAGTTGACAATGCTCCGGAGCCCATCGCTGAGAACTATGAGTTGGAGAAGTTGGAAGAAGAGGAATTTGTAAACCAAATGAAAATGCAATCGTTTGATGATGAGGGAAGCATCGGATCTCCACGTTCAAACCCCGTTGGACAATATAGCAATGAAAGCTTGCCTTCAACAGGCCCGTCAACGGCGGGATTGGATCGCCAGACGCCTCCGGCTTACCCGACTGGCCCGAGTATGTTTACATCCGAATCTAGTTATTATTAATTTTCCATTGTGCAACTTTCAGACCCTCAAAGTTGCACAATCGCAACGGCCGCGGCGAACCAAGGCATCGGGAATCGCGCTCGTTTTGGCCAAACGTTAGCCGAAAAACGTTCTTTCCTTGTTCGGATGGTGAGCGACCCCAAATGCTACAATCCAAAGATTGTTCGTCATTTGAATATGCGTAATCATAAGCAAATGTCGCAAGATATGTTCCGTGATCGGGCCATTCGGCAGTCCATGGAAGTCGGCTCCAGTGGAGGAAAAGGAAAATTCCCGCAAAAATGTAAGAAACAAATTTTGTTGCCTTTCATTGCTTGCTTCTTTTTAGTCAGTCAATACAGTATTGATAATCCGTCGGATGAGGATGAATACGTGAGTACGGTAGCACCAAATCCGACTGGACTTCAAACGCCGATGTAACAAGTTATTTAGCTATAATTAAGTCTGTTTAATTTCTTCAAAATATAAAAATAAAGTCATTTTTGTAATCGTGGTTTATTTCTGTAGAATAATCGACCACTTTATTCAAAAACCGTAAAAAATCAGAACTAATTGTGCTTTTTGTGTACGAACATTATCTTACGAGAAGTCGGAAACCGTTGCAATTCTTTGTTGAAATTTTATCAGAACATGTCGTCGATAGGATGGGATCAGGGTCAATACCGAGATAGGGTTCAGCAGCGGTAGAAAATGCACCAGCGATCCCAAGTAATAGCTGGAGTCAAGTAAGTCCACTTTTAAGAAAGCAAAAACAATAAATAGCGAGCAAGGGAGGTAAAACGTGACCACTGGACAAAACGCCTGCAAAATTAATGCAGTCAATAAAAGCTTATGTTTACCAATTACTTTCGATGTTTTCCTTGTTGGACCCCTTACCTGCATTGCCATTGATCGTAAGATTAGTCGTTGTCCCTCCATCGTTTTTTGCGATGACCTGTAAATGTTTCGCCTCAACGTTAGCTGCGTTTTGATTCCGAAGAAAATGAGGAGCACGTAGAAGGAAGTCAAAACAACCTGATACACCACCATCTTGGTTATTGAAACAGCCGTCATCTATAATTTCATTCGATTAAACTTCAATCGACCTAATACAGAGATTATATTATAATTTCAAAAACAAGTCAAAACAACCAAAAAAGACGAAAAGCCGGCGGCCCACATATGCGCGCAGCTAGAAAATAGATTCGTGTACTTATCAGTACCAAGCACTTGTAAAATTTCTATCATACTATGGAGATTACGTGAGAAAAACCGTATTTCTATCGGCAAGTGCCCGCTGTCCACAAAGAGGTTGCCCGCAAGTATCGCGACGCCGAAAAATCATACCCCAAACATCAAGAATGCCTCGGTGCTGTATTTACATAAGTGTGTTTCCTCCAGCAATTTCACAAATGGTCCAACGTCGTCCCGGACCAGAACCGAGAAAACGTAGTCAGAAACAATAACCAGACTGATACTGAAAAACTTGAAAATGTATCGCTTCCTTGACCACGTAACACCATGGCAAATTATGTCGTGACGGTACCAAAAATGGACCAGTTGGCCTAACGACAAGACGAGAGTCATGTCCGTGAACAACATCATCACCGCATTTGCTTGCGGATAAGCAAAATGCCGAAACAAAGGGTTGTTGTTGATCACAAACAGTGTCCCTTCGTAGGTTATGGCGTTCTAAAAGGGTCTTGCTCAAGGTGATTGAAATTAGAATAATCTTGACAGCGAGTTGAACCAACAACCGACTTACCGGCATATTGATTAACGCAAAAAGTGCAAACAGAAGGTCTAGACAAGAGTTGAAAATGACAATAAAGGCGTAGTCGCGCTTCTGCCGAGTCTGACTCCTCGTCAAACTCTTCGATAATACCATTACCACCATACATAGCAGAATAGATACCAAGATGATAAAGTAGATGAAATACTCATAGAGCACACGGAACCTCATTTCAAACCCTATCGCGCAAAAGCCGAACTTCAGAATATGACTAGTCCAGAAATGCAGAAATGGAACAGAATAAAGTTTAAGGGCAAAGAATTACCCCTGCAACCGGACCAATTGATGTCACCTTGGTTATTACTCAAATTACCAAAAATTTAACGGATTAGGTCACCGGGAAAAACAAGACTATTTTCCAGGCGGTCCAAGTGCAATATTGAGAAATGAGTGGACTGTTGTCTAGAAATTTTCGACGCCTGTCCATGAACTAAATCTATGTCTAGACCAATATTATTCGTATACTCTTTCTTACATTTATTAAATCTGAAAATAAATAACTGGCCATTCGGCAATTTGGTTTGTAATAACACGATAGTCTCAGGTATGTTGGTAATATAGAAAACGTTTAATTTCGCATTCTGACACGCCGTAGCTCTTCTTGTTCTTTGGAGTCAATGTCGATCATGCCCGCCGGAGGCGGTGGACCACCTCTTCGTTTACCATTGCTTTTTTTCGAGGCCTCGCCACTATTCATGCCTGCTTTCCGGGCCGTTCCAATTACACTCTGACCCGACCAGCCTTCTGTGTTTACCCTTTTTGGCGTTGGATTTACGCCGGGTTGAGGGATTGTGCCAACTTCTGGGGAGATCGGGGCAACTCCCGGACTTATGGGGCCAACTTCACCTGGAAGTCCGATAAATCCCCCATTCGTCTCCACTCCAGTTGGAATCATTCCACTTGAGCCGTCGATGCCCTCAGGACCCTCAGTCCACATGTTAACTAGAGTTGGGAAAATCGGTGCTTCCGTCACTTCTCCCTTCTTATTACTCATCTTCTCCATGCCCTCAAGACCGAGATCTTCATCAGGCGGTGTGGGTGGAGTTGGCCAACTGGACTCCGGAGTTTCCTCACCATCCGTCTCCCATGGTTGTCGAGCATTGCCTTTGGCCAACCCGAATTTGTCGCCTCCACGATTGTTTGGAACTACAGCGACTTCTGTTGGTTTCACTCCACTCCCCATAAGACCGGCGAAGAATTTGGAGATCGGATCGCTGCCGGCATTCGCGGTGTTTTGCGAGCCCAACGGAACTGGATTTCCTGTCTGAATTTATATGATTACCAAGTGCAGAAGATGACGAGCTTTCATAGTTGATTTAAAAGTGCGAAAAATACGGTAACACTGTAAAAGGGCATACATTCAAGAAGCTGCCGAGATTAAGTCCTTGTCCTTCTTGGATTCCAAACAAGTTTTCCAGCCCAAGACGCTGGCCTCCAACGCTTACTCCGCCGTCCGCTAAAATTCAAAACGACTAATATTAACTGGTATTGAAAAAAACAACGCCAAGAAATACGCTTACATTTCGCTCCGAACCTTCCAGGACCAATGTTCAAATTCATGGCTCGATCAGCTCCGAGTCCAAACAAATTTCCGCCCTGGCCAAAGTTCAGCAACAAATCCCCCACTGGCGATTTTCCCAGCCCAAACGAACCGAGGTTTATCCCGCCCTGCGCTTAAAAAAGGAGTTTCGATAAACAGCTCCGTGAATTTCAACCTAACTCACCATTAATTTTCTGCAGTACCAAAAACATTGGCCAAATAGCCAGAATACGAGGCAACTTCATAACTGTCAATCTGAAAACGAAGAATTCTGTAATGACCAAGGGTACGCGTTATAAAGACGAGCAAAAGTTACGACCACATCGAACAATGTTCCTGAACAAAAGCGGAACGTGAAACGTTATGAATTCAAACAAAAAAGTGATGCTCGGATCGAAAAGAAATCCAACTTATTTTTCAGGCTTGAATTGACTTCGAAGCGAGTTAGCTCACGGGATATTACGTGAAAAAACGATGGGCTTTCAAAGTTACCCGCAGCCCTTTTTGCATTTTTAAAAATCGTAAAATTGGAAGAAAATGGTAAAAAAATGCATGGACTTCAATTCCATCAACGTTTCAAAACTTTAAAGAACTTTAATCACCTCAAAATTTTCTGGAAATCCCCTATCAATATCCGTGAGATACGTCGATGAGGCGAAAAAAAATTGATGACTCAAAAACGTCGTAAATTCGCGGTTTGTTCGACTTCTTTATTTGTCTTTTTTTCGTGTCGCTTTACGAAAACAGGTGAGAGGGAGGCTCGGAGGTAATAATCTACCTGAAAAACGACCAGAAACCGGAGAGAAGTGGTGTAATGTCAAATTTTGGGATTAAAGTTCGCTGACTTACAAGTTGAGGGGTAATTGTCGAATGTTTCATGACCTTGTTTGTTCCGTGACCTTCAAATTTGTCGATGTCAAAATTCGCTATTTCTGATGCAACTTCTACAAGCACTTTTTAGACACTAGCACAAAGGTCAATCTACTAATTTCTGACAGCAAATTAAATGCAAAGCATCAAAACCGAGATTGGGCCTTACTCATGGCCTTATGATTAGAAATTAATTCGAAAAGGACATGGTTTTAATTGCGAATGATTCAACGGACGTGGACTGTAGCTCCACTCGGTGAATATATAAGTCCAAGCGAACATGTTGGAGATCACATTCGAATTTTGAACAAATTTTGAGTGCACCTTGGTCGGAATGGTAAGTTCGTGTGGTCGTCGAAGTAAAATTTGTAAAATTTATTCAGACTCTGTCCAAGCTTTTAACCGCCTCCATGGTGGCTGCGGTGGTCTGCGGGTGAGTTAAGGCCCAGCTTTTGGCATCGATTATAAGCCTTGGTTGACAATAACTCTCGAATTTTAGCCTCATGGCTAAGCCATATGACAATGGCAACGGATATGATTCTCCTCCGAGCAATGGCTATGCTCCTGCTCCGAGCAATGGCTATGCTCCTGCTCCGAGCAATGGCTATGGCCCTGCTCCGAGCAACGGATATGCTCCCGCTCCGAGCAATGGTTATGCTCCTCCAAACAATGACTATCCCTCAGCACCGAGCAACGGCTATGTTCCTCCACCGGCATCTCCGCCAAGCGGAGGCTATGGATCTGCGCCAAGCGGCGGATATGCCCCTCCCCCACCGGCCTACCCTCCACGCTACGGAGGAAACGATTACGGTCACCACCGACGTCACCACCCACGATACGATGGAGAAGGCTATGGTGGGTCTTTGCGGTATAGTAATTATGGCACAATGTCGCTGTCCCGATCGCGTAAAAGCAATTTAACTTTTTCGCGACAAATCATTTTCCGGACGGCGATTCGAATTTCGACGCAACAGAGTGTCACTATTTTTCCGACGGACTGATATTAAGTCAGCCCATGCCTAGCCTCTTTATGGCTTCACACATTTGATATAGCGACTTTTTCGCTACATAGAAAGCTGACGTTTCATAGCTTCTTACGACAAGAATTTTTTTATACTTGCTTTTCAATTTCAGACCGTCACCCATACGAAGATGAAGGATATGGCGGAGGTTACGATGAAGGATACGACGGTGGATATGGCAATGATGACAGATACGTTGGACGGTACCCAAAACCATACGGAGGATATGACGATGAAGGTTATGGTGACAGATACGACAATGACGGCTATGGCCACAGGTACCATCATCGCCATCATCGTCGTGGCTCAAGATACCAAGTGAATAGCCCTGGATACGACCGTCTTTCTCCGGCTCAATTCTTCCGCAAGTACGGGACCATCTTTGCTCCGGCCACGCCAAAGGGAGGCAGAGGAAACACGGGACCATTGGATTTCGGAGAATACATCGGAGAATCGTTGACCAATCTGGATAAGGTTGAGTAAGCTAAAATACTATGTTTTTTTAATTAAATTTTTATTATTAAGAAATGAATTTGTATTTTTGACGTAATAAATAGCCACAGAACTAAAGATTGATGGTAAAAATGTACGACTCGAAAAAAATTAAAAAATTCAGATCAGGTACCTAAAGCAATATAATTAAAATAAATAGCGTTCTTGACACAGTAAATTGGATAATTCAGCTGTTGAAGAAACATAAACACCAATAAGTTTAAGAATTTTGGTAACACATCATTTATCAGTCGTCCGATACCTAAAACAAGATAAAAAGCTCAAAAAAATCTTAAAAATTGCAATAAATGTATCAAACACCCTTCATGGAAGTTACATCACAGCTACACCCTAAAAAAGCGCACATGCAACGAGTAAATCAACTAACAAGGGAAGTACTTGAAGTGTGACGCTCAGATTTTGATGAAACTTGACACAAATTTAGAATAATTTTTTCTAAGATATATGCGGGAATCCTAGCTCGCGCTTTGCAGAAACAACCGAGATTTTTAGATCGAAAGTCGGCGAAAATTTGGGACTTTTTGCCGAATTTCGGCACGAAAAGTTTCATGCCTATTTCAACCGTAAAGAATAATGTTTCTACAAAAAATCAAATTTTTCCGCACGAAACTGCCAAAGTTATGGCCAAAAAGCGGTTTTCTCTCTGACCGCTCTCCACGTTGAGCGTGCTCTCTCGGCGGCAAAGATCGTTCAATATCTCGGCGACGCCCGCAAAGCGCGAGCTAAAACTTTCAGGAATTGATATTTAGTCCATACCCGATGTGTGTGCAAAATTTAAAGAAAATCTGAGCGTCACACTTGAAGTACTTCCCCTGTAAATAAAGGTCAGCGAAACTGTAGGATTCGACAGAAGCGCCGGGAACACTTTCATCGTATAAAATGTCGCCGCGAGCCGCAGAACTGCGGAGGCAGCTCAAAAAGTAAAATAATTTTTTTCCAAGGCTTTTTGAAGTTTTTGGATGTAAAGTTGAATGTATTTGAGCGAATTGGCACTTTTCTTTGTGAAATTGTTGGTTTTGTTAGATTAAAAGATTTTTTTAGCGATTTTTGATATTATACTAGGCGCGATGTCTTGATTTTCCAGCTTTTTTCTTTTAGGTAGAGATGGTGGAAGAACAAGAAGCTCGTGATAATGCAGAAGCTGGTCCTTCTTGCGAGCAACCCGATGATCCGCTTCTTTATGTTATGGATGGGACCAGTCTGAAGGAGAAATTACTTGAGACGATCAATGAACTGGAAACTGGGATAAAGAAGGTATGTACTTTTCTACTTTTTTTTCTTGAGTTTAGGTGAAGTGTAGACAAGTTTTATACAGTTGAATTTTATTTTTAGTGTTTGAAATCAATTTTTCATCCGGATGTGTCTCAAGATGATCGCGCGAAGCTGTTCAAAGACGGTCATGAAACATATATCTGTTCAAAGATACGATTAGACCGACAGTTGGAGTTTGTTGCTCCACATCAAGAGCGAGAAGCGGATAAGAGACTGCTAAAGGCGCATATTGAGGATAGAGATGAAACAATATCAATTTTTGCTCGAAAACTGGAGAGAATCGAGAGTGTTCTGTTGGAAGCGGGTTTACAGGTAAGAATGAGGTATATTGTTTGTTTATAGGTCATTATCTTAAACTTGAAGGTCTTAGATTGCCTTTAAAATATGTAGATTTTATATTGTAGTAGGTGAGATAAATTATTTTTTAATTTCAGGCAAACCGCCGATTATCTATAGCTGAAACGGCTCGTGCCAACCCTGTTGACATCAATTCTGTGATAAGAGCGTCATTTTTCATGTCCCGAGGCTACTCAGTAAGCGCTCCGTTCAACTGGAATCAAGGTGATCCATCAAGACCATTCCCAACTGAAGCTGATTTTGCGACCTCCCAACTGATGCAAATGCAACAACAGAGACAAAGAGTAGGCGGTTTTGTATTTTCTGATTTGTTTCCTTCAATTCTAGGCAGCTCCATCAGTCCTCAACCTTATCAGAGGTGCAGATTCAAATCAGTCCACTCCAAGGGCCAATTCGGCCGCTTCAACGCCCACTTTCCCTCAGCCCCCATCGGTGGGATCGTCGGGTTCGTCGTTAGGCGGCAATCGGATCTCAATGCCTTCGACTTCAGGGATTAATACACCTCCATTAGGTCATCGATATGACTCCAATATGTAAACTCATATCTGAATTAACTTATTGCTGCTTTCACTATTTTGTTAACGAGACTTATGCACGTTTAAATGTTGACCGTTTCACGATAAAATATCATCGCATGGTTGTTTTCGATTACTTTCTGAAAACATTGTTTGGAGCACAAGGTTGTCAAGCCTTGATAAGAACTTCAATGAAACTTCTCTGTGATTTGAAAGAACGATTTATGAACTTTAGCCGTCTGCGTTGGGCATAAAAAACAAAAAAAAAAATTTTTTTCTTACAAAAAATATTATCGTATGCGGTTATAATTGTCAAGGAAAAACATTGACGTTCGATTCTCAAAATTTCTTTGAATTTTGCATGTATACTCTAAAAAAGACACCAATCAATCGCTGAAATTTTGAGATTTTGTTTGTGAGGAGCTTCAACAATCAAAAAAAAAAATTAATTTCCCGGCGCTACGACTTTCGGGTCGTGACAGTTTGGGGCGACAGTAGGCACTTCCTACGACCTTTTTTGTGTATGCACCTACCCTACATCCCGTATCAATCGATTTTGTGTTGACCCGAACTGTCGACCGAAGAATTTCGATTGTTTTTTTGCAAAGAGCGGGTTAAAAATTTCATTTATATCTGCCAAAGGTTCACTCAAAATTTGTTGCAAGTTTCATCAAAATTTGAAGGCTACACTTTGAGCAATTTCCGTATAAACTTTGCACTTTCACCCGGCGCAAAATTAACTCCTTTATCGCCTAATCCGTCCACATAGGTTGCCCGAGAACCTCGAATGGAATGCCCACGACAAAGCGCATTGTTTGGGAGGGTTAATCACTGTTTACAGAGTCTTATCTTGGACAGTAAGAGTTCCGGAAAGCGGTGTTTTTACGACCGCCTTTTGGGGTTTCATAATGGGCACCCTGACGTCAGCGGCGTTTATCGGCCGTCGCGGGTGGCTGTATAAAAGGAGAAGGCTAATTTTCAAAAATCAAAATAAGCATTCAGTTCTTTGAGAGCTTCAGAATGAGAAATCTAGTTTTGTTTGTGGCCGTTGTAGCCTGCGCTCATGCCGCATTGATCACTCCGAGAGAGAAGAATCCATTCAAGTTGGTCATGGGGCAACAGGGAAATCCGAGTGGATTGTCATCAAAGGATCTTCATGAGATTTGTGACAAGTGTCTCAACTTTTTCCAGAAAGTGAAGGAGAGTATTGGAGATTATGGAAAATTGACCAAGGAAAAATTGACCAAAGCCCTTGATGTAAGTCTCATAACTGTTTTTTTTTAAAACCAAAAATTGGTTTTTTTAAAAAGACAGATCCGTAACATTACTTATTGGTCATAATTCAAAAAGAAACTCCAAAATGCTTTTCTTGAATAGTTTTGGAAATATTTCACCCAAAAAATCAAAAAAGAGCTTTCTGTCATCCGCAGGATTCGAACCTGCGCCCTCCGAAGAGGACTGCGACCTGAACGCAGCGCCTTAGACCACTCGGCCAGAATGACACGTTCTTCCGTTCATCCTTTCATAGTAAAAACAGAGCGGCAGTGCGAAAAAAATTTTGAAAATAGCATAATAAAACATTTTTTTGGCTTTCAAACCCTTTTTAAGCTAAAATTTATTAGATGGAAGAATACTAGAACTTGCAAGCAACACCCTGAGGTGTTTTTCGTATTTTTCCTAAAAAATTTTAATCAAAAAAAAGTTTTCTGTCATCCGCAGGATTCGAACCTGCGCCCTCCGAAGAGGACTGCGACCTGAACGCAGCGCCTTAGACCACTCGGCCAGAATGACACGCTCTCTCCATCGCAAAAGCTCCTTTCGGAACAAGCGCTTTTTGGTTTTTTGAGCTTATCACGTCTATATTTGTCTTATCAGTGCTGCCCGAAAACAAGAAAAAAAAATTAATTTATGATTTCATCATTTTTACCAGTAATCAACGATCGTTATAAAACAAGAAGACAATTTTAGGATGTGTGCAAGAAACTGCCAGAAGACTTCCCAGGAAAACACGAGCTCTGCGATCTGTGGACACCAAAACTGGTGGAGTACATCTACAACTACTACAAAGACCTTGAAGAGAGCATTGACCCAAAGAAGTCCTGCCAACTGGTCTTCCTTTGCCCACGACACCCCAAAACTACAACTGCATCGCCTGAGGTTCCGACCGGCCCAAATGCGTAAAATGGTTATATAACTTGTATTTTTTAGTTTTAAAATTTCCTGCAATGTACATTGACAGTTTTTTTGGAGCAATAAAATCTGCTAGACAGTTTTGATTCACTGAAGTTTTGCGGACAAATGAGGCTCCCACAGTGCGCCGAAATTTTCGTAGATTTTGGAAAAGTGTTTCCGGCAGCTCTTCGCATTTTCACACTCCTTTTTGCGCATCGAGTGACAACAAAAAATCAATAGTCCTTAACTTTGAAGTAACATTTTTTATTTTTAAAATCGATGTGGTGTTTAATCACATATCAAATGGATAAATTTTGGCCGTTTTTTGGTAAGACAAAACCTTAACTTTGCTTGCTGGCTAGAAAGTTTTCAATTTTGTAAAAAATTCTTCCGAAAGAATTTTGGAATCTAGAATCTTCTGGTCGAAATCGACACTCGTGTGTTAAGAGTGGACGTGGCTCCCGGCCCGTGCCGGGCCCCTATTTTCGGTCCGTCGGCCGGAATGGTTAAAATCCATAATCTCGAAGCGAAAATTGGGTTTGGCAATGAAAATAAACGCAATGTCAAGACAATTGGTTTTTTAAAGGTATTTTTGTTTTTAGATAGCTATAGAATACGGTATTTATCCATTTACATGATGACAGAAAAAAATTTGGTCATAAGGAGTTGGACTTGGGGAGACATTTGTTTCAATGGGCCGACCGACGAGCCATGCCTAGTTGAGAGCAGGCCGTCTTCCTCGATTCTGTAGTCATAATTAGGCTCTTAAACTCTCCAAGCCCTGAAACGGTGTAATTTTTGCAGCATGACTTATTTGAATATCTCAAGGAAGTGAAATTGATCCTAAAATTCTTCATTAATATATTTGCGTAACGTGGGCGTTCAAGTCGAGATGCAAGTTTATCAGTTATCATCTGCTGGAGACAGAAGTATTTACGATGGGCAACGTCATTGACTACAAATTTACCACACTTACTCTCTTTATCATACAAGGGGTGACAGTGGTGACATTTTCGATATATGGCCAGCGAACAACAAATTTGATGGGGTATATACGCCTCACCAACAATAAAAATTTATTAAGGTAGTACTAGCCACAACATACATGCTTTATCCATAAGCGATTTATTGGGGAGCGTCAAAACTGAGACAAGCTAAAACAGTCCGGTGAATGGATTGGCAATATGCCAAAAAAAAGACGCCAAAAAACGTTTTGTCGGGGGAGAAATGGGGAATTTTTGGGGCGAGAGAGTACTTTTTTGCGTGTCTTTTTTCTCTCTTTCTCTGCGAAATAGACGAAGTGTAAAAAACCGATAGCGAAGAGTCTATTCGGGTCACCGGAATCCTCAGTTTGACGTGCGGCAGTCTGATAAGTGTTTTTGTGATTTTACTTTTCAATTTCTATGACCGTTAACATTTCTCATTATCTTATGAATTATCGGTCTGTTGAAAAAATAATAAGGACTCTGTCGCATTGAAAATAGCATCGCCGTAAAGAAAACGAATTGCGTCGAGAAAAATCAAATTGCTTTTCACATCAGCGGCGCCGCATTGGCGCAGCGACAATGTGGTCATTATTTTCCCGACAGGTTGATATGTGCTGCACAGATTATCTGCAAATTCACGACGTTTCTTCCGCTTTAAAATCTGAGAGTGGTAACGTCTTTGTCTTATCGGGAGGGCAATTGTTGGGTAATACAGCAAACTTTGACTCACTCGTTGAAGACAAAGACCTTTAAGTACATCGAACAGCGGAAGTCGGCGAGTATATAAGCAAAAATTGTTGACTACTTTAAAAAACGTCGCACATCCGCTTGGCAGGATGAAGTTTATGATTATTACTGTTGCTTTCCTTGCATTTGCCAATGCGGCACTGATCACAAAGAGAGAAACAAACCCGTTCAAGGTGATGATAATGAATGATGATGTCAAGGTCAGCCCAAGTGTTGCAGGAGAAGTCTGCGAAAATTGCCAAGCCTTTGTGCAGAAGATCAAAGATACCATTGGAGATGTTGGCGATGTGACGAAGGAGAAGCTGAAAAGAAAAGGGAAAACGATGATCACAATGTCGCCGCATTTTTTGTGCGGCAACACAGAATTAAAATCGAAATTTAGGAAGTTTGCAAACGTTTGCCCGAAGATTTCCCTGGAGTTAAGGAGATCTGTGACAGCATCTCTCCGAAGGTCATTGATTTCATTTACAACTACATCAAGAACGTTGGCAAGGGCATTGACCCAGTGGGAATCTGTCGAGCCATCTTCCTTTGCCCACAGAAATGAGCAACAATAATCCAGCATTATTATGCTCTTAACGTTGCGAATATGCTATCAATTTGCTATTATTAATAAATTTTCCGGAATTGTGGATTAGGCCACGCCTAAATGAGAAGGTTTTACACGTCTCACTAAGTTAAATCTCTCATTTTAGGTGATAGGGACAACTAAAGGGTTGCGAAGATAAGCGCTTTACAGAGGAGCGGCGCCCTTATAAAACGTGCCCTGACCTCAAGTTTTCACTACAACCCTTCATTTGAGTTCATGATGAAGGCGCTTACGATAGTACCCCTTCTTTTACTAGTGAGTCATGGCGAGGAGCTCCAGCTCTTTGTTAAACCAAAGCCCGAAGTGTGTCTGGGATGTGCTGAGGTCTTCGAACTTCTGAACGAAGTTATTCCTGATGTAGGACACGTCAGCAAAGGCGAATTCAAGGCGCATATTGATGTGAGTCTTTTTTTTTGAAAGCTTTGCAGACAATATGTTTTGTGATCGCAGAACAAGCTGCTCCACCAAAAAAGTTATCAATTAATTTAACTTTTAGTTTGCCTGCAAGACGTTGTCAAGCAAAGGCGATCATAAATACAAGGATGTTTGCAAATTCGTCAAGAAGAACCAAGCCTACATCCTCCGCCACTTGAAAAAGGTTGGAAAGATTGACGACAAGGAAACTTGCCACACCTTCTTGCGCTGCACTTTTGATGATGCAACCACCCAGCCTCCAATAACGCATCCTACAAGGCCCGTTACTGACTCTGGCCGCACTTCGCGTAGACCATGGAGCCCAACTACGCGTGGACCATGGAGACCGACTACCGGCGGTCCTACACCGAAACCTGGGCCTACTGGAGAGCCCTGGACTCCACGCCCTTGGCCTACCCACAGACCTCGGCCAACACATGAACCCTGGACTCCACGCCCTTGGCCTACCCACAGACCTCGGCCAACACATGAACCCTGGACTCCACGCCCTTGGCCTACCCACAGACCTCGGCCAACACATGAACCCTGGACTCCACGCCCTTGGCCTACCCACAGACCTCAGCCAACACATGAACCCTGGACTCCACGCCCTTGGCCTACCCACAAACCTTGGCCCACACGTGAGCCTTGGACTCACCGCCCATGGCCAACTCACAGACCTCGGCCCACACATGAGCCCTGGACTCCCCGTCCTTGGCCAACCCACAGACCTTGGCCAACTCGTGAGCCCAGGACTCCCCGTCCTTGGTCAACTCATGAGCCCTGGAGACCAACTACGGGTGGGCCATGGCGACCAACCACCGGAGGTACTACTGGAGCTCCGTGGAAAACTTCTAGCCGTGTGGAAAACTCATCCATTCCGCCGCGCCACTCATCCCGCGTTTCAAGCAGAGGTTGGACAAACCCCACTAGAAGCAGCCGCAGAGTCCAAAGCTCTTCCCCTGCACCCAAGGTCAGCACCGAGAGATTCTCTACTTCCAGACCACGTCCCACAACCTCTTCCTCGTTCATTGCGAAGATCCTCGGCTTCTAAGCCAAGCAAAAGTGATTTTTGGTTTGAACGATAAACTCTGTTGCAAGAAAACGTGTCAATCAATAAACTGCATATTTTCTCAAAGGCTCTGCAAGCTTATCTTTAGCTCAAAAAAATGTTTATCGAAAGAAAAATTGCGTAGGAATACTTGGAACAAATTAAGACCGAAAATATAATACATATTGTATTTTTTGTGCTTTACACCAAATTCAGAAAAAACGCAGTCGTGCAAGAATAAAATCAAAGCTATCGAAACGTCAAAAATCCACTGCAGACCGTCAATTTGAAAAACAAGCGCCGTAGGGTGACCAGCGTCGCGCGGCAACCCAAAACAGAACAAAAACGTCTCCCGCCCACTTTTGAATTTTGTCCAAACGAAGTGTCGCAATTGACAAAAAAATAAATAAAATAATTCCGCAGCCGCGGAAAATATTTTTTCGGTCGGAAAACCCACGAAAAATTCTTTTGTGACATTTCGTTTGATTTCAATTGACACAAACGGGGGAGAGGTGTCCAACGGAACCAGGAAAGATTTTAGGTTGCCATGCGTCGTCGCTTGTTGTTCAATTAAAAATTTATTGCTAAGATAAAGTTTTAATGCGGGCGTCGCAAAAATTATCGAAACCTCAAATTACAATAGAATCTATAAACTCAGCACATTGCACGGCAAGCCAGGGAGTCTCGCGCCTCCTTTCGGCACTTCGCCCGCCGAGTACCGGTTGAATTCAGACGAAATGTTAAACTGAATTTTTTGTAGGCAATTGCAACACTTCGTTTGGACGAAATTCAAAAGTGGGCTGGAGACATTGTTGTTCTATTTTGGGTTACCGTGCGTTGGCTACTCCATAAGTACACTCTCAAATTTGGGCGTTGCCCTCAAGAGTCATCGTAAACCCTCGAAAACTAAGATTATTAAACAATAAAATTTTCATGACAATCGGAAAGGTGACGCAACGGATTGCTTGATAACACAAGCAAGTTTGGGCGAAATTAAAAAAATGAGTACAACTGGTGAAATTTGGGGTTGATAAGTCTCAAACTCTAATTGCTTTATCTTCCACACATGGGCGAGTCCGGAACATGTCATGGTATTTAAGCGGCGAACATTCCGTGAACATTAATTTGTTTTCAAAATGAAAACGACCTTGTTTGTGGCCTTAGGGCTGTTACTTGTTGTTGGGGCGCAAGAACATGGAGAATTGGAATCCCCGTCCTCGGCCCAACTACTAAAGCCAAAGCCGGAACAATGCGCTGGATGCGTTGAGGCGTTCGACCTGCTTAACACTCTTGTCGGGGATATCCGAAAGATCAATGAAAGGGAATTTAAAGAGCACACTAGCGTAGGTTTGACAACTTTCTTGACTACCTCGTTTTTGTTTGATTAAAAATTATCGTTGAATTAATTTCAGATGGCCTGTAGAATTCTCAAAGGTGGCGGTGACCACAAATACGGTGACGTCTGCAAAGCGCTCAACAAGAATTCCAAATACATTTTCAACTATTTGAAAAACGTAGCCCATGGGATTTCTCCAGAAGCCAATTGCTGGATCTTCCTTCGCTGCGACAAGCCAGAAGTAACTACAACCACAACACAACCTTCAACTACTAGGAGATGGACATGGCCCACCCCGAAACCCTGGCCTACCGGAGAGCCCTGGACTCCACACCCTTGGCCTACACACAAGCCTTGGCCAACTAGAGAGCCTTGGACTCCCCGTCCTTGGCCAACCCACAGACCTCGGCCCACACATGAACCCTGGACTCCTCGCCCTTGGCCAACCCACAGACCTCGGCCCACACATGAACCCTGGACTCCCCGCCCATGGCCAACCCACAGACCTTGGCCAACTCGCGAGCCCTGGACTCCCCGTCCTTGGCCAACCCACAGACCTTGGCCAACTCGCGAGCCCTGGACTCCCCGTCCTTGGCCTACCCACAGACCTTGGCCAACCCTTGAGCCCTCGACTACCAGCCCTCGGCCAACCCTTGAGCCCTCGACTACTCACAAGCCGTGGTCCACTTCATGGGCTCCAACCAGCACTGACCTCCCAAGGACCACGACCACTCCTGCTATCCCCACCGAGAAAACTAAAGTGCCGACGACCCCTGAAATTACCACAACCACTGAGGTGGTTACCACCGAAGAGCCCGAAGAGGCTACAACTTCCTTCCTTTGAGAGGCACCGTTTTTAATGTTAATAAAAAATGCTTGTAAAAATTGAACCATTTTATCATTGTACGAGTAAAACATAATTATTTTTGAACGAAATTAATTCTTCTACTGTAGATCGTACTGTAAGCGGATTTAAAGTGTAGAACGTCCGTTTTGGGCGTTGGCACAACAGATAACATAGATTTAAAAATTAATATTTTTGGATGATAAATAGTTTTTGATCGTACACCACACCCACGAGGAAACGCCCAGAACATTTCTCATGCTTTATTCAACATTCGTTGTCGTTTCACCGAGTAGGCATGTAAATTCCTTGAGTTGCAAAGCAATTAAAAGTTTCCAGAATTCTCAGAAATTGTACTACGCTCAGATAGAACAAAACTGAAGCTCAGGTCTTGGGACAATGATGTTTGAGTTGTGTTGGTAAAACCACGTAATGGTTTTACCCCATGAGTTTTGATTTGAACAGAGCTTCGTTCCCGAGTGATAATCTTGAAAGGCAACCCTTTTTTCCTTCGAGCGTATGGCACGCATGAAAAACGCCTCCGCAATGACAGCGATGACAAATAAAGGATGGAGTTAGTGCTTTTCCTTATGTACCGTACCCTTGGTTCACCAGAGAGTCGATCTCTTTGCATTTGAAAAACCCATAGCAGAGCATGGTATTTTTATTTTCCAGATATGAAAGAAGCTCCGGCCAGCAGGTTGGAGATGGTCGGCCCGGGAACCATGCGTAATTTAACCCATCACCTCAGGAAAAAATGTAAGAGGTCCCAAAATACAATACAAGTCGATTCTTCATCCAATTTCCGGAATTTCTAGTTTGGTGACGTGTCCTTATCGCAGATTGATGATAAATAATTATTTGACAAAAAATATTTACATTATCCACCCTTTTTCGGAAACGTCTTTTCCGCTAAAAGGTTCCTAAAATTTAATACAGTGCAAAAAACTTAGGGACATGGAGTCCACAAACTTTTGAAACCGGCACTACTCAACAGTCTGTCGGGAAAGTAATGAGCATAGCGCCGCTACGCCAATCGCGCCGTTAGGATGAAAAGCAGTTTGATTTTGCCGTGGCACAGTTCACTTTCTCGGCGGCGATGCGATGCAAGAGAGTGGTCATTATTTTCCCGACAGAGTGTTATAAAACATAAAGTATGTATTAGCGTTGCAGATATGTTTCATGATGGCGTCGTAGTTTCGAGCAAAGGAGTTCCCCAGTTTCCATCTGGATCGTACTTTGACACAGACAAAAAACAGTCTGCTCACTTCGAAGTGATAAAGTGCAAAATGCAGAGCACAGGCAGCAGACACAAAATTCCTGCGGGGCGTTAATTGTATCCAGCGTTTCCGGGACAATTTTTTTGAGGTTATCAATGGACGGGATGCCTTTATAACCGGCCGCTCAAATCAGCTATTATCAGGTAGAAGCAACTTCTTTGCTGAACAATGCGGTCTTTATTGTTTGCTCTGTTGGTGTTGGGAAGTGTGAGCGCTGGGAGTTTGAAGGTACCCCATGATGATTTGACGATGGCCATGGAGGTTGTGGATGCGTTGAAGGAAGTGGATTTTGAGCAGCTCGAGCATCAGTACAATCCAATCTGCGAGGCTTGCAAACTTGGATTTACAATTACAAAAAGAGTGATTGGCGATGTGAACAACTTGACGAAGGAGTCGCTGGAAAAGGCTTTGGAGGTAAATATTGCGAAGACTGTTGCTGCATGACAACGTTTTTCAGTTTTTGCGCCTTTGAGCATTAGAATGTCGGGAAAATAATGAGCCCCGTGTCGCTACGCCGATCGTGTCGCTGAAGTAAAAATCAATTTGGTTTTGTCACGACACAATTCATTTTCTCGGTGGCGATGCGATTTTCGATGCAAAAGAGTGCTCATTATTTTCCCGGCAGATGGATATAACCTTTTTAGAGGTCATTGTAACAATGCTTATATTTGACACCTCCACTTCACAATCTCTGAATTCTAGATCACCTGTTTCTTCATTCCTCGACATCTCCCGGGCCGCAAAGAATTCTGCGAGAAAATCATCCCCGGAGTCATCGACCTCGTCTATCACATCATCAAAGAGGTGGACAACGGAATCTACCCCGAACGTGATTGCCAATTGATCCTGCTTTGCCCGCGTCAGCCCACAACCGCCGTCCCAACCGAAGCTCCGTGCACCACGACTCCTGCAACAACAACTACAGCACCAGTCGAGCCGATTACAATTCCGGAATGACTTTGGTGATGTTCAGTGTAAATTGATCCTTGCGATACTCCATACCCCATTTGCGTCATGATATTTATATGTGCATACATAAACAGCAATAACTGTTCTTTTTTCTCGACCTCAATTTCGAAAATTCCACCAACAATTTTCGATCGTAAAAGGTTTGAAAATCAGCGGCAAGATAATGAAAGACGTCAGAGCTGGAAAAATCGGAAAACCAAAGTTTTAGGGCTTGTGGCAAAGATGTTTGTTTGAGCGACAGTCGAAAAGATCAAAAACAACTTAACATTCCTTGGTCTTCAACTGCCCTGCTCTGAACAAATTTGTTACAAAAAATTTTCAAAAAAAGAAACTGAGAGCAAACAGATGAGATACAAGCTCTTGGCAAGATACAGTTGCGGAGTCAAGATTCGAAATTTCATGGGCTGTACTATGTATTTCTAAACAAGCGTAGAATTTTATAATAGTCATTGGGCGCGACAAACGATTGCTAATTTTTTACGCAGCAAAAAAGGGCATATCACTTTTTGAAGAGACTATAGTAATAGTAAGAGGTGGTGGTATGGAAATATAATTATGAAAATTGCAGGAGAAGTACTGCAATCGTGACGCTTAGATTTTGATGAAACTTGGCACACATTCAGATTGTTTTTCTGCGATGGCTCATGTGAGGTTCCTAGCTCGCGGTTTGCAGAAAATTAACCGTGATTTTGAAGTCAAAAATGTCAAGTCTGACGAATTGTGATTACGACGTTCGTATTATTTTTTTATGCAACTAGGGAAAAAATTTGGAACGGTTTTTTGAGTGTATGCGCCAAGTTTTTGCGGCCGCCTAGAACCTTTTCTGAAATTTCGTAATATGCATAACGGCTCGCTCTAGAACATACACCCTCTTTGTGCAAGTGGTTCCAGATGTTAAGCTGAAAATTCTTCACTCCAAAGAAATTTTGATGGTCAAAAATTTGTCTAATATTTGTTTGAAAGCGGACTTGTCTTACAATGTTTGAAAAGAAGGCATCTTGTTCGCTGATAAGCGAGCTGCTGGCAGAAGCCCTCGAAACGGTGTTTGCTCAAAACGAACGGGTTTTTATTATGGGAAAACAAGACTGTACTAATGCACATGATAAGCATGACGCCAGTTTTTATGCCCCTCTTCCCGAATACACATAATTCAGACCACGACCGGGCATTAATTAACTCCGCTGCTGATGACAAGGCCTTCTTATTGTATTGTTAATTGTATTCAGTTTCCATTGCGCAACCTCGATCTATGATAGTTCACACTTTGCAAAACCATTTCCTTTTGTCATCCGGGAAACTTGTTTTTTCGCAGAGCGGCGATTGTTTGAATGCTTTATGGATATTTAGTTGCGCTTCAGCTTTCTCCCCCGCGCTGATGTGTGGTCTAGATCAGGTGTTTCGGATTAGCGAAAGTTTTGGAGGGGTTTGATTATGAATATTACTTTCAGTGCACATGATTTTGCAGGTCTGTGCCTGGCAGAAAGGACCAAGGTTTTTGGGTTTAAGATTCGGGCTGCTTTTCACAGCAGAGGGGACGAGCTTCCAGGAAAGTTGGGTTTTTGCTAGGCGGGCCAGAAAGTCATGACATGTTTTCCAACAATCAGCTCAGTGAGGGGGTTTGTTGTGTTAAGATTTCTTGGGTGCACTCCTGAAATTGTGCGCTAAAACAAAGGTTTTGTCATACCTTGCTGCACAGAGTATGTATCATAGCATCAACGACGATTCAAGTATCAGTCCGTCGGGAAAATTATGAGCACTCCGTCGCGTCGAAAATCGCATTATCGCCGAGAAAAATTGTGTCGCGGCAAACTCAAATTGCTTTCACTTCAGCGACACGATCAGCGCAGCGATGAACAAATATATGCATAGACGGAAAACTTACATCATATCTTGTGCCTAGCTTTGCCCAAAAATATGCACATTCCAGCCTAGCACGCAAATTTTCTGTTTTTCCAAACAAAACCCTCCATTTTTCGCGCGAAAAGTTCGCAAGGGATTTGCGCGCTGTTCCATTCTCGAAGAGTGCGAAGCGCTGAATGACATCGAAACTCTTTAAGCCGGTGGCAAACAATCAGGACGAATAAATAAATCCTCTTTGAGCTCGAGGTAAGAACGCGGAAAATGTCGGTCATGTTGCTTTTCATGGGATTGGAATGTCGTAAAAGGGTTGCATTTTCATAATGGGCTGGAAGCTACATGTTTTTCTCAATTTGAAGTATTTGCTGTTAAAGGGCCACAATAACTACATTTGAATCTCGCGTTTTGCGGCTTGGAGAACGAAATGTCACAAATTTTTTTGTTCCCACACGCTCTTAAAACAAAGTTGAAATATTTTGAAAACTGCTGAGGATGTATTTTACGATCTATTTTTTCATCTTGAACTACTGCCAATCTCGTTTACGGCAAGAAACAGCAAGAAAAATTGTGACATTTCGTCCTCCAAGCCGTAAAAGCGAAATTCAAATGTAATTGTTCGTCTTTTACATAATTATGTATGCAGTCAGCTCAAAAAAACTGGTGAGTAATACCGTCGAATGGACTTGACGTCTCGAGTTGAATGATCCCTGAGTCAACCGCTTTCGCTTGTTGGCAGGCTCTTATAAATAGAGCCAAGGACTGCATAAAAAGTGATTTGAAAGGAACGATTTCCTTTATAGGGGTTCCTTTGTCAGACTGTATTTCATTTTTTTCGCAATGCAAATCAGCTCTTGCGCTTTCGTTGAAGGCTCGATTTGGGATGGGAGCTGAAGACTTGTTTAAAAAAAATATTTTTTTTTTGTGAAAACGTTACCCTCTGCGGTAGAAAAAACCATGGTTTTTTTCATTCAAAAATTCGCAAAAAAACTGTTATTTTTTTGAAAACGTTGACCTAAAAATCTCGGCCGTTTCTGCAAAGCGTTAGCTAGGAGTTTCGTATAGCATAGAAAAAATTATTCTAAGGTTTGTGTCAAGTTTCATCGAGATCTGTCGCATGTGGAGTACTTTCTATACGAAATGAACGGTAAAATTCCAATCTCCGTTCTAAATTTCCTTTGCTTACCTTGGCACCTGTTCTACAGTGCATAAGTCATCTCTTTTCACAAGTAAAATACCTTTCCGCAAATCTTTCCCACCGCAAAGTTTGACTAATTTCGAATTGAATTCTCTTCCTGCCAGGCGAAAATATGACTAACGGGCATCCGAACGCCCGGCATACTCATCCGTTTCCCTCTCAAATATATGTCAGAACAATAGAATTTATGAGTGAGTTTAAGTGGTCGAGACTTGTTTTTGCGCCCCCCGCAACAGATGTTAGCCCTGACCTTTTCAAGTTCGCATTCTAAAGATTCCCCCAAACTTTGCTGTAAAGTTCAACGATTTTTTTGCATAACCGAGTCTGGACATGTTTTTATGACCTAAATAGTACGGTTTCGCCAAAACTACGATGATAAAACCAATCTGATGCCATGTTGTGTTATTCTTGGAGTCCATTCCGCTGGCAAATCTCATAAAAATTAATGTATAAGCATAAATTTTTTCGTCTGGCTACTCGAAACGGGGATCAGGAAGAAAACGTTTTGATTTCCGCACTCAACATTTTGATGGGAGCCGCAAAAACGGTTGGCTTTGTTTCACTTTTTCCTCCGATTAATTTAATCCCGAAATTTTTTTTTGATTTCCAAAGGGGTTTGCCGATAAAGTGCGGCACAAAAAGTTAATTTGGGGGTTTAAAATATTCAAAACATTTGTTGGGTTTCTTAGAGGGTTGCGATACCGAAGTGCAGTTTTGGATATAGATGGATAGATGTTCTAAATCGGTATGACGCAAGTTTTTGATAGTTTTAGCTTTTATGTATTTTTCGGTAGGAATTCAAATGAAGCGTGCAATCACTTTTTCGGACGGTGACATTTGTGGGCAGGGCCGACATTTGCAGGGATTTAATTCATGCATCTTGTTTTTTCCTTGATCTCCTGAACTTATTATGCACATTACAAAGACAGCTCAAATCAACAGCTCAGTCAAAAGCTGAAGCTTTGAAGCAGACTTTCTTAGGCTTACAAGGGAATGCACTTAATGCGTAAATCGCTTTTGAACCGGAGGTAGTGCAAATTGATCGAGTAGGGCCCAGTATCATCCTCAAAGGGGGAAATCTCTGCGCGGCCCCTGAGGGCAAAGATATGATCCATCAAAATTGACCTTCTTAGGCGTTATAAGGAATAGGCATATCTATCGTTTGGTAAAGCTTTGCAGCCTGCCCATCCCATATGCATACGACAACGTTGTCCGCCCGCAAAACGGCTGCCGCAAAATTTTTGCCGCGAGGTTTAACGATAATTTTTGGCCAGAGGTTACGTCAGTCTGTTGGGAAAATATTGAGCACAATATCGATGTGCCAGTCGTGTCGCTGAAGTGAAAAGCAATCTGTTTTTTTCTGCGACATAGTCAATTTTCTTGGCGGCGATGCAATTTTCAGAGAGCTTGTTATTTTCCCGACAGACTGATGTATGGAGAGCAAGCTGAAAAAAATGCAGAGTACAACCTATCTCTGCACAAATAATGCTCGTGCAACGACACTTCTCAATTAATAACGAATAACTGCACACCAAGGTGTTTGACTTCATCATACTCTATCTTCATTATTTTTCGCTTCTGTTAGTGCAGTTGTTTACAGCTGTTTTCCCTGTTCTCCAAATCCTCCAAACCATTGTCCAATGGAACGTCTGTTCGAAAATAATAAGTAGTTGTGACCGATTGGAACTAATCAATGGACTCACTTCCGAAGTACGTTCTACTTTCTTCCGAACGCATAAAAAAACGGCTGACAAGTGGACACCTCTCCCGTTTTTTTCTTTATTGACAGATTTAGGTTTGAGGATTAGGACACAAAATTAATCGTTTACTGGTTGTTTTATTGCATTGGACTGAGTAATAAACTCTGGGAAGAGGGCTGGAGGACTTTGAGAAGGTTCCTTTCATTTGTTGCCAAGAAGAAGATCGGATTGTCTTATATAAATTGTAATTTGATACTTGATTTTTTGTCATTTTGATCAAAGAATTGGATTTTATATTAACAGAGGAATTGCTCTAAGTGCGACGCTAAGCGTTTCTTTAAATTTTACGTACATTTTAGCAAAAATAGTCATAAAACTTTTCATGTCATCAATTGAAAAAATGGCGCTACTTTTTACCTAAAAATATCGGTCGTTTCTGTATTATGCGAGCTAGAAGTTTCATGTCTTAGGAAATGTATGTCTTAGAAAAAAATTACCTAAATCTCGCCCAAGTTTTACCATAACCTCGGCGTCCCACATGGAGTACCTCGTTTCCAAGATAGAAGACTTTTGTATCTCCCGCGGACTTGCTGAAGCTAGCATGTTACTAATTATCTCATAGAAATTGGCATGAAGATTTTCCTTTTTTTTCTTTTCAGCCATTATCCTCAAGCACAACCCGAATACGATTTCCAGCGAGCCTTTTCATCCTTGACTTCCTCATAAAAGTTACCCGTCGTTGTCTTAAGTGAGCAGAAAGACAAGTTCTTTTCAGTCTTCCGCTTACAATCCGGTAGGGAAGGGATCGTGTAAAAGCGCAACAGTTACGCAATTTAGGGCAATTACGGGTGTTGTCGATCTTTGACTCGACATCTCCTACGGGGAAAGAATGGACGCTGACTTTCTTTTTTGAATGTCCGATCGGCGTCGTTAGGCGGTGTGGAGTGTAATTGAGATTTTTCGTTGAATACTGCGCTTATTTGTCACAGCAAGGAAGGAGAAGGTCCTAAAGTCATCACTTTTATCTTCGGGTTGCTCCTACTCACGTCTGCTACACATGTCATCACACGTTTTCGCAATTTAGCCGACATAAATTTTATGATACGATTTGGCAAGAAGCCTGATTCTATGGCGCCTTCCTTTTTTTTAATGGGATAAAATTTATGGCCCAGCTGCCGGCCAGAAATTTATGACAATTTCATGGGCGCCTATGAATCATTTTCAATATCCGAACGTCTGGTTATGATAAGCTCCACGGAATGCTGAATACTGTAGATTTCCTTGGGCTGGCTACTTTGAGCCCTTCTTTATATCCCTCAAGGCGTTTTACCACCAGTTCTGGCCTCAGTTCTAGATGTTTCTTTTCTGTTGCGCAACTTGAGATGTTCGTGGTCCTTTTGCAAATCCTCTTTTTACCTCTTTCCCATCACATTGCGACCCAGCCGAGGATTCTTTTTACCCGTTCGATTCAATTCCTTGGCCCTGGAGCGCGGACTTTCGCAATCGATCCCTTTCTCAATCTGTCTTCACTAGACAATATCGTTCTATGTAATCGATTAGGAAGCATATATAATTTTTCTGGATGATTTTGCTATTCATTGGGCAAATATGTTGTGTCAGAAATTTTAGCCTATATTGTTGCCATTCCTCCTTTAATGTCATGTTTATAGCCACATCGCTGCTCCTTGCTCAGGGTTATGTCAACACTGATGTCACAAAAAAAAAACACTTTACACCCACCTCGTTCTATTTTCGCTGTTTCCTTTGATTGTGTGTATAAGATCAAATCCTTGTGTTGAAGAGGGCCGCGCGTTATTTCCTCTCCGTCCTTATGTTCCCTCCGGCTTCACGTAAAACATCGAGGCCCCTCTTGGCGGATCGTAGGACATTTGATAGGGCAAGGGGATTAAGGTCCCGGGATCAGTTCTCAAATCTTCTTCAAAGTCGGCAGGTTTGAGGAATGGAATGTTTCCTGCCCGCGGGGTTTTATTTTCATCTTTGTTTGGTTATTTTGAAAGTGTGTTTCATATTGCCGCCGAGTGTTTACTACAAAGAGTGGAAGAGAAAGACGTGTCATTCTGGCCGAGTGGTCTAAGGCGCTGCGTTCAGGTCGCAGTCCTCTTCGGAGGGCGCAGGTTCGAATCCTGCGGATGACAGAAAACTTTTATTTTTGATTTTTTTGGAAAGAAAACCTTTGAACAGTATACAAAGTAGACCTCAGAGTGCTGTCGGCAAAAGTCTGTTGTTTTTACGTCCGATAAATTTTAGCTTACATAAATGTTTGCAAGCCTTTCACGTTATCTGTTATTTTGAAACCGTTTTTCATATTGCCTTTTCATCTAACAGACCTGTTCTTACCATAAAACGGTGAGCAGATGATCGTGTCATTCTGGCCGAGTGGTCTAAGGCGCTGCGTTCAGGTCGCAGTCCTCTTCGGAGGGCGCAGGTTCGAATCCTGCGGATGACAGGATTTTTTTTGCTTTTTCTGATTGAAACTTTTTCAGAAGCATATGAAGTAGACCTCAGAGTGCTTCTCGCAATCTCTAATTTTTTATGTCTGTTATTTTAAAGGTGTTTTTCATACTCTCGCTCCGTTGTTACAATGAAGAGGGGCGGGAAGGAGCGTGTCATTCTGGCCGAGTGGTCTAAGGCGCTGCGTTCAGGTCGCAGTCCTCTTCGGAGGGCGCAGGTTCGAATCCTGCGGATGACAGAATTTTTTTTTTTGATTTTTTGAGCGAAATCTTTTCATAAGTACACAGGAAAGACCTCAGGGTGCTGCTTAGACTGTTTAAACCCTTTTAAAACGCAGGTTGAACCCCAGAAACCGCAAATTCTATTTCCAGCTAACTGTAAGATCAAGTGGCGGCAATTGTCGTGTTTTCATACCAGTATGCGTTCCCCGCGGAGTTCAAGTTGGTTCGCGTTTTTTTAGTTGTTGACCATTGCGCTCTTGACAAAGGAAAAATGCGATTAAAGGGACGGTTTATATCTAGACAAATAGCATGGTAAACACGAGTTTCTGGAGCATAATGGGCTGTTCGGGGATGTGGGCTATGAGCCTAGAATGGGATTTGAATTTGTGAAAAGGGAGATAAATCAAGTGTGATATTTGATGTTCGACCGTTCCTGAATCGTATTTTTTGACCTCAAAAAACATTATCCTAAAACAAAAGTTGATTCTTTATTCAAGTTTATCATTCTGAGTCATCCCTAGGCCCTTGAACTTCCGCTGTTGACCTGGACTATGTGCCCAAGGCGTAAACAGCTCAGTTCAAACACATAGAAACCCTCGTTGAGACTCGCGTTTCGCCGGTTTGAATAAATTTTATGGCGGGTTTATGTGTGCGACGTCTTGCGATCGCTTCGTGAGAGTAAATAAAGTGTTTGGAATTACTCGGAAAAGGTTCAGGTTTGAGCTTTCACCTTGATTTTTTGTTGCAACAGTCAAAACTTTGTAGAGATAATTTCACCAAAAAATTGACTGTAATGACAGTTTGTTTCATGACCAATTAAGGGCATAACAATTTGAAAGGCTATTGAAAAAAATGCTTTTTTCATCATCATCCTTCCCAACCCACGACGTTATTTTTTACTGCCATTTTCACTGGACATTAACGTTTTTTTTCGGTGTGATAATCCCCATCGCGTTGTGTAGTTTGAAGCGTGATATGCGACGCGGGTCTCTTTTTCACGACGGTTCAAACGTATTGTATTTACCTGCCTGTTAATCCGTTTGTTCTCCATTTTTTCGCTCTTATTTGCTCTAGTTTTTTTTTGGAAACGCTTGGATAACTTTTGGTGTTGTGATAAGAAAACGATACATTTTTGCAAAAATTTTTATTTCAAAGCCTTATTGAGGAGTTCAACGTTTCAGTTGAAGGCTTATCAGTCCTGTTTAAGCCTCGAAAAGTTGCGCAAAATCGCGATACTCTTTTTCTTACCTAATGTTATTATTTATAAAATCAAAACAATGAGCGTGTCGAGTTTTATTTCTTGCGGGTTTTTAAGCGAGCCTCTGGTATTTTTTGCAATAAAAAATTGTCGGAACTTGAAGGGGAAAACTCTCTTTAAAATTATTTCGAACTCTCGATGATGACTTTTCCCTTATTTTGCGTGGATTTTGGTAATTTATAAATTCACACATGAGGTATTAACGGACAATGTTGTAGGAAATGACATCAATGTCGATGTCAATGTACCCCAACACCTATGGGGCATCCTACCGGTCGGTTGCATTTGGCACATGGAAGGTTGGCGAGGCTCGACAATTCTCTGACCGATATAAAAGGCATCGCACACCGGAACTGTCGGCGAATGAGAGAATTAACAAGTAAGTGACCAAGGTTTTAATGTAGCGAGCACTTGGCTGCAGTCGTTTGTATTTCTCTTGAATTTTATTGAAATCTTATAAATGGGTATAGTAACAATCGCTGGAAGTCTGAACCCCCCGTTCTCAGCGAGAGCCGAGATCAGCTATTTTTCGCAGATAGACTATGCAAAATAAACAGAGTATGTCAGAGAAAATTTTTTTGAATCAATCTATCGTAGTTCTAGCTCATTAGCTCTTGAAATCGTACTTTACCGCGCCATATGTCGATAAATGTTCAATAGTAGCCAATTAAGTTTTTATCACCCCAATAACACCTAACGAACCCTGAAAACTACAAAATCAGACCCATTGTTTCATGGCGCATAAACCTTATCACCCACATCTCACTTATTTTTGCCAGTAGCATCAATTATTCTCGCCCTATCTGCGCTTCGCATCTCGGCTGCAAATCTCCTGCGCACTTCAAGACAATGACTCATTCATTGAATGCATCTTCCCTCGGAAATGAATGGGCGAGGAACTTCAAAATTTCGGACGATTAAAGTCTTGGGCATTTTGGAAATAGCTGCTCGGTTTTGGGACTTTTGGAATAACGAATTTTGAGATGCGGGTGCAAAGAGAACATCGAAATTTTCAGTGATTGATCGCTAGCCTAACAATAAGTAGAGGAAGTACCAAAAAATTGAATAGAATTATAGAGTTTATACTGTGGGTGACCCCTTCATTTGATTCAGAAAGCTTTGCTGATCTACAAAATTTTCATTTCCGCAAAGAAAATTAATTTTTGTGAAAGATTAAACATGCAATATTAGTCATGTTGACACGATCAAGCATTAAATATATTTATTTTATGGACCAGAAGATGACGTCTTTGGGCTCTAACGATTTATCAGATGTTCACGCTAGGCCCTTCTTGATTAATTCCTTGATTTAAACTTTTTGCTCTTTCTCCAGCGATTTTTTTTGATTATAACACTTGGCCTCGCAAGGCGAAATGCCTCCCTTCGCCTGAAATTTGACAGGAATTTGGCACCCGGGAGACGTGAAAAAACCTTTAGGCAGTTGTCTCAAATCAAATAGTTTTTGATACTCTCTGGTTTTTTGCTTTTTTCTTTCGGATTTGATGGGAATAGGTGTTTCAATGGCAATGTTGGTTTTATTGGGACGGAATGCGTGTAGACAGATTGTAGAATGTGAAGGTGCGGTTTATGGGTTGAATAGGGATGGTTGTGGGGCCTATACTCGAAGAGTATATAATATAACGTTTCAAGGGAGGTGCTCGAAGTGCGACGCTTAAATTTTGATGAAAGCTGTTATAAATTTAGACTTTTTTATCCGTTTGTCGGGAAAATTATGTGAATTTTTTGTAGTGATTTTTTCGCACAGTGTAAACCACAAGAAAGCCGTTTTCACTGTGCAAATTTTCAGTAAAGTTGCGGCGACGCAGTTAAAAAAGCTTGCGTCGACAATGTTTTTTGATGCACTGTGCAAAATCGAAAAAGAAGTCAAATACCGTAGGTTTTTTAAGCGCGGTGTGGACAACGCCCAAATTTCATGCCCTTTGCCAGTTTGTAGGGAAAATAATAAGCACCCTGGCGCATCAAAAATCGCATCGCCGCCGAGAAATGAATTGTGTCGTGGAAAAATCAAATTATTGTAATATAAAATTTCAATTTGCTTAGCAATGCGGAGTGAATCAAGACCCGTGGAAAATCGTAGCGTTGACAAAAGCCACTGCCAATAATTTTTTTGTATGTCCATCCACTCTGTCGCATCAAAAATCGCATCGCCCCCCGAGAAAAAGAATTGTGTCGCGGCAAAATCAAATTGTTTTTCACAATAATTACGCGATCGGCGCAGCAACTACCTCTTTTTCATCACAAAGTATTGTTAAACTTATGCTCTGTACTTTGACTTCGGCTTAGTTCTCCAAATCTCTTAGATCCGTAAACTGGGGAGAGCAAACATAACACACCGTGAAGAATGAAACGAAAAAATGCGTCGTCCTCAAGTTTTTTGTGACTCCGCGGTGAGGTATTTTCTTTCCTTTGGGATTTTCATGATTTTCAACTTTGAGGGATCAAATAAATCGAACTTTTAGAACTTTTTATGAGGAGTTCAAAATTTTAGATCTTCGCATCGACTTTTTTGGCCTTTTTTACACGGATCCTCCTAAAATATATTTGAATAATACTCCTCTTTGATTTTGCGACAACCTCTGGAGGCAAAATATTCAAAGGGCTTTTTGCGGATTCGAGAGGGAATAAATAGATAAATGAATGCGTCTCGTTTTAAGGTCAAATACCTTTCAAGAGCTTCTGTTAAATTTTTATTGGATTCAAATAGTTTTGATCCGCTTTTACGGCTCTCGAGGGGAATTGTTCGGAGGGTTTCCAGGGAATTTTCATTCTTACTGAACAGTTTGGGGGTTATTTCTTGGCTTCTGTATGGGATTGGGGCTTTATCGGGATATTGAAGGCATCTCGAACAGATGACTTTCGCAAAGGCGCTCTGGGATTTTAGCGACAAAAACTGTGCAAAAACAAAAGTTTACTTTGCACTGTGCAATTGTGCAATAGGTTTTTTTGGCCTATTGCGTTCACACACTGACTTTTCTTCACAGTCTAACGCCCAAAAATTACCCCAGCGACTTTGCGAAAGGACTAGTTTCAAACAAGAAATATTTTTTTAACCATGACCTCCAACTTGTCCAAAATTCCCAACTTGATCAGGCAAATTGACCCACCAAATTTCAAATCTCCAATAAACATCACCCCACATACCAAACTGTTTTTTATTTACTCCATTTTGAAATCTGATACGAATTTTGATTCCGCTCCCAGTGATTGATAGTTTGGCGAGTGGCCAGTGGCGTTTTGTTGATAAGCAAAGGTCACATGTTGGACATTTTTTTGGAAAGCTTTTTTTCGAAACGAACTCGTTTCTTACTATACATTCTTTTCAGAAATTTGACCGCTGACACCTCCGCCGCCTCCCAGGACACCGAATCCCCCTCGACTTCGAAAGCCCTAACGCAATCGCTGAGCTGCGCTCAACTCGACGTGTTTATCAAGACCGATCACTCCAATCTGCTCAGTTTGAACTTTAAGAGCCGGACTTGCGAAACACAGCGGAAGTTCAAAAAAGTCCCGCTGGAGCGTCAAGAAACCCTCGATTATTTCGAGGACTGTGACACAACGAAGCCCGAAGGCTACAGAGTCAGTGAATTGAGTGTTGACACGAAACCCATAAACTCTGCGAAAACGCGGCCTCAAGTCAATAGCCAACTGCAGAAGACGCCAAGCGGACGGATCACAATAAATCCATTAACAAAGTCGAGGAGCAGCTCATCTCCCTTCAAGCAATCGCAAAATTTGTCCGAAGCCGAAAAGGACCTAATCAAACAATTTGGCGCTGCCGAGCTTTATGGTACATTGAAAAGTCCAAAGAGATCCTGTCCAGAAAGCCCAAGGATGGAACCGTTCGCACGCAAAGAACGCGCCATGAGTCTAGCGCCGGCTCTGCAGCAAAGCACTGATATGTTCTCGGCTTCGGAGTATTCCCGATACTGTCATGGAGCAAACAACACCATGACGATGAGTTGTTGCAATTACGAAAATGGTAAGCTTTTTTAGGATTTGCTCACGTCTAACAAGAAAAATCGTTGGTTAAATTATTTGAAGAGCTGAAAAAATTAAGAGCAACTCTTGATTTCAAAGCAACCCTACGGAAAATTAAATTACGGTAGAAAAATCGTAATTATGACCGGTAAATGTCGGCTGCCCGCAAGAGTGGCGACGTCGAAAAATCAGTCTTATGTTTCCGAAAAAAATTCCACTTTTTGACTCCCTAATCAAACCCCTCCCGGCTATTCGGAAAGGTGGGCTAAATTCCGGGTTTGTTTCAAAAATGAGTCATAAGGAGATTTTAGCTGAAAAAATTATTTCAAACACCTTGAAACGAGGCGAAAGCGGGATCTGCTTTTTCTTGGTTTTATAATAACACGGCTCGTAAACGCGCTATAGAAAACTTTAATTGTTAGCCATTAGTAGCTTCAGCGTTTTACCGGCGGGTTTTATCTCACTTACTATCGCCGCTGGAAGTGCGAGGATGTACTTTCACTCGGCGATGGCGTCATTAGCGAGAAGCGCGCGGAAACGTTGATGTAGCGCAGTGGGGTAAAGTGGGATGATTCAGCGGCGTTGTAACAACAGAAATTTTTTGTGTGGGTCTGTTTTTTTGACAGACCCTAGCTTCTCTAGGAGTAGCTAAGGTACCCAGATGATCTAATTTTTCTACTTTTTTTATGACTCAAACAACTCAACGAGGTGTTGAAGACAGCCGTGTTGAAACTCGAAACTGTTTAGCGTTCAAAAGTGATGTTCGCAGTGAGTCTCTAGCTTATGGGAAATAATTTTTTCCACACGATTGACTTAATCATCGAAAAAATACTTTTGTCTTGCGACGAGAAACGGGCTTATTTGCACTTGATTTTCTCGCATTTTAGAAAAAAATTGTAATTTTGCGCTGAGGAATATTGATTTAGCATTTTCATAAAGTGAAAGGACACTTTGTTGCAGTCAACACCATGCATAAAAACCCCCATTTTGCACCGTGCATTTCACTTTTTTGTTTGGTTTTCGCACCGTGCATCGAAATCTCCCCGAAACATGAGCTTTTTTCAAGTGCGTCGCTGCGATTTTGCTGAAAAATTTGCACGGTGCAAACGGTTTTTTGTGGCTTTCACCGTGCAAAAGAAAAAATGCACTGTGAGTTCGCGACAAGCATGGGAAAAAAACTCAAAATGCACTGTGTGAAAGGGAAAAATGTCTATGCACTTTATGAAAATAATAATAAGTCATACAGTGAGGGACCTGATCCAGTGGCAAAAAACGTATCATTTGGCATCCGGGAAGCATCAAAAATGTGGCAAAATACCTCCCATTAAAAAACTCCGTTTTGAAATCGGCGCCCTTTCCCTCACAAAAAGAGCGGGCGCGCTTTTGAAATCGGAATTTTTTCACTTGGAAAGGGAGGTATTTTGCCACATTTTTGACGCCTCCTGGATGCAAAATGGTACCTGTTTTGCCACTGTATCAGGTTCCTCACTGTAAATAGGGGTATTCAGGCTTTTGTCATTTCTGGACAAAAAACAAATCTTCGACCTTCCGCCCTATCATTTTCGGCAAGGTCACCGCCGGGTTAACCTCATTCCCCGCTGCTTGTTTTCCCAACCAAATTCGGCGTGGGCGCCGGAACGCATTTCCGAGAAACTCGCGCGCCGCAAGTGCAATCATCCGTTATAACCGATCGCCTAAAACAAAGCGGCGTCTTACAATAGAATTGCGGGCATTCGCCTCCTCCGAGTCTCTTTTCCCGTTTGAAGCCGTTCCGATTATTATCTATGGAGATGTTTTCCCAACAAGAACCAGTGCCGCATCGAGCCCTGAGGGGCGCTTCCGTCGCGCATTCTCGAGCGCTTCTGAAGGAATTCCGCGCGGATTGCCCTTTGAGTGCGCGAATATTCGACATGTTTCGGCGTTTTGAGTCGATGAGGGATTACTGCGTAGCGCTTGGGGACTACGGATTTTAATTATCGGTTTTTGGGAGTAGAGTGGGAGGTTCCGAGGACTTCTTGATTTTATTTGGCCATAAACTTGCAGTGGTTTGTAAAGCCAAGCCCAGCTGGCGTAGGTTGCAGCAGTAAGCGTGGATGTGCTTCTTTAAACTTAAGGCTGATTTTTGAGTAAAGACGTCCAATCAGTCTGTCGGGAAAATAGTGAGTACAAAGTTGCTGCGCCAATTGCGTTGCTGAAGTGAAAAGCAACTTGACTTTGTCACAACACAATTAATTTTCTCGGTAGCGATGCCATTTTCGATGCGGCAGATCAGTCATTATTTTCCCGACAGGCAGGTATGATATATACTTTCTTCACAGCTTGGGATTTGTATATAATCATTAGTTATTTTCATGAAGCGCACGGAGATTTTTTCTCTTTCGCACGGTGCATTTTCAACTTTTTCCTACTCGTCGTTAGCGCACAGCGGATTTTGCTTTTTTCGTACTGAAAAAACGATTTTTTTTGTGAAATGCACGGTGCAAAGTGGGAGTTTTTTATTCACGCTGCGGACCGAGACAAAATGCCCGTGCACTTTATAAAAGGACTAATGCTATAGAGCTTGCGTCAGCGGGACCTGAAAGCCTTCTTTTGTTGACAACTCCAGACAAGATGGAGCAAGATTTATAGTTTTTACACATGTATCTTGGGGATCCACTGGGTCCTGTTTCGTCTGGTCATGTGTTTTTTCACTATTCCCTTCAGGGGTTTTTTGAAAATTTGATTTATTTTGTTTTGCCATGTTTTTTGTTATTTTGAAAACAGTAGATTTTATGGCCTCTTATTGTAGAAACAAAAGCGATGAAAGAAATTTTTGCTGACGTTCTAGTAAAAATATAAACTTCAAAGAAAATATGATAACTTTGGGTCCTAGAAGTACTATTTTGGTTACTCTGGATCCTCTATTTCTCAAGTTAGGAGCCAAATAATCATTACACATATCAGCTGTCGGGAAAATAATGAGCGAACTGTCACGGAAAAAATTTCATCGCCGCTGAGAAAACGAATTAGGTCGCGGAAAAATAAAATTGCTTTTGACTACAGCGATGGGGTCAGCGCAGCCATATTGTACTTATTATTTTCCCGACAGACTGATATTTACTGATATTTTGCCGACATTGCCAATAGATCCAATAGTAAAGCCGTAAATTTTTAGGTCCTGCGTTTGTTTTGTGATATTTTTACATCTAAATCTTCTATGTGTACCATAATACTTCGCAATTTCAGTACTCCTTGACCCGTCATTCCAAGCCCGCGCCGATCTCAACCGCTCAATGGACGCGCTGAACGACCGGATCATCCATTATCCCCAACCGATTGCCGGTCATTTCGCCTATATTCCGCCGACCAAGCCGCGGACCGTCTCCCAATTCGGCGGCCGAAGTTTGGCCGAGGTTTTGGGGAAACGGCGGATGGTTCAACTGCCTGTTGGCGGTACTTTGGGCCGGACTTTTTATCCGGCACCAGCTCGTCGAACACCGCTGAACCTCCAGCAAGCTTTTCAGCCGCCGCCGACGCCGCTGAAGCCTCGCGAGTTCGTTGTGGATCCGCATTTTGGCGATGGGTTGAGGCATCGAGCCAAGAGTTTGGAGAATACGAACAGGTTGGTTGGCATTTTCATTACCGTAGTCATTAAACTCGTCGGTTATTTTGGCAGTTTTTCCCTCAAATCAAAGTGTCATAGCTTTGTTGACATGTCCACGTCAATTAAAGTCTCGAATTCTCTATGAAATCACAAAAAATGTCCTCAAAATCCCGAAATTTGACCCGATAATGTCTTATCTTCAAGCCGTGAAGGCGTAATCCATAACCCCTTGTCATCAGGTGTTTTGAGCGGGTCAACAGACCCTTCATCAGATTGTGACGGCTCTGGCCAAAGGTTTGCTAATATTAAACGGGAAGTCGCAAGTGCCTTAGGCATGATTTTGACTAATTGGTGCGGCTGGTTTTGCTGGGAGGTGATTTGCTTTACCTTGGCCGAATGACGAGGAAGTTATTCGGTGTGAAGATTAGTTTCAATAGAGATTTTGTTGACTATTTCCATATTGGCGCGATTTTGAATAAACTAGGAAATGCCTGGGGAAAATCTTAGCTCGCATTTTGCAGAAGCGGTTGAGAGATTCGACAAGCTTTTTGCGAGAGATAACATAAAATTAAGAGACCAAAAATTTGTTATTTTTTCAAAAAAAGTCTTCTGTTTGCCTTACAATGCTTTAATCTTAAATTATGCCATATTTCAATGAAATATAAGCCGGACACTTCAAGGCTTTCCTCAGTTTGCTCATTTCTTACCCTCCTCTCCGTTTTGTAAAGTAATTCCGCGAACGTTCGGCAATATTGACAGCCGAGGTTTGAATAAACAATGAGCTGTTCGGCTTGTGTCCTCTGGTCACTCAGCTTTTATTACGTTAGCAGATTGCTCGCTTCTTCTCGGAGATTTTTCAAATTAAAATTTCTTGATGACTAAACCGTTTCGAAGCCAGTAAAATGACTAATTTTTCGAATCTCGCCCCTCTTTTCTTGTTTTTACTCAAACAAATTGGCCCGCTCCATCGGATCGCCCCACTGACCAGCATTTTTTTTGTTTTGGGTCATAAAACGGCCTCGACTCTGACCTTTGACGAATGGCCGGGCCAAGGTTCTTTGGCCATAAAACTTGTTCGAATTTATCAATCTGAAGATGCGGTACGAACGAACAAGGCCGCTCAATTCTCGCTCAAAAAACACTTTGGCAAAAAGTTGAGCGAGCCAATTTTTGAGACCCCAATGAAACTTTAATAAAAAGTACGAATTTTAGTGGATCGTTGAGCTTTTCCGAATATTTACTCGCTTTGAACCGTCGCAAATTCGATTTCAATTCAGTGGGCAGTAGAAAAAAATGATATCGCATTGTTCAAAACGTTTTTTCTCGAGTCACAAAGTGTGTAAATTGAATTGGGCACCACCAATTCTATTCTGTGGACTCTAGCCTTTTTTGAGCATTTTTTTTAGTTTTTTCGGCGTTTGAGGATGTTCGGGATTGCGGTTACTTTTGAGCGGATTACTTGCTTTTTATCTTGCATTTTGACTTTACTGAGGACTTTTTATTTTTATTTTTTTTTTGCCTGCAACATTTACTTTCTTTGGCCCAAATTAGGGGTAAAAAAACAGCCCAAATTGTTTGGTCGAAATTTTCCGAAAAATAAACTGCTTCCATATCTCGACAGTCTTTGCAAAGCGACAGTTAAACTTTTTCAAAGTAAAATTCAAAGGAACTCTAAGACATCCTTTCTTCAAAAATTCGAATTTTCCCTCAGCATCTTCGTTAAGCCGGCTGCCATTTCCAGCCGGTTTTTCTATTCAAATTTCCCTTTTATCCAACTTTTTCATTCTGCCAAAAACACATGTTTGAATAATTTCTTTGTTTAAACAGAGGCGGAGATGTTTTCTCAAAGAAAAAAGAGCCGATTTTTAATCAAAATCCGGCAACTTTTCCGCCCGAATCAAAAACGTATTTTTATCCGAAAAGCCTTGGAACAGAACGTTTAGACAAATTACAGTACCACCTCAATTTGATGTGCCAACTTTCCCAACATTTTGTATTCAAAAAGCCAGCTGGAATTCCAATTTCGTGGATTCGAATGCACTTTCATCCTCAGATAAAAAGTTTTCGAGGACCGGGCATAATTTTTATTTGGGCTGCGCCTACATATATCATAGGACCGGGGGGTTTTTTGAGTACGATTAATCTTTATGGACTTTGTTGGCTTTTGAGATATTGGGTTAAACTTTAGTTTACTATGCTTTTTTCTAGCTATATTTGCGGTTTTTGATTCTCAAAAAAAAAAATCCCGTAGGACATTTGAACGTGGTTGAGATAAAAACTGAAGTAATCCATATCCGCCTCTTCGATATTCTTCAAATTTTGTGCAGATATTCTACATAGGTTCTTCATCCATTCCCTGAAAATTTTAGCTCACTTCTTCGACTGCTACGGCAATAGTATGCAATTTTTTGAGAGAGTACACAAAATGAGGAGGGTTGAAAGACATTTTTTCGGCGTTTTTTTAGAATTTTTTGCCCAAAACTGAGTTATTGTGTGTAAAATTTGTTCTCCAGACGTAACAGATTCTCATCGTCAGGCCCAAAATTATAAAAGAATGTAAATTTTTGGCTCCAATTTTGGCTAAAAAATCTCTGCTCCTTCGGAAAATCAAAGCTGAAATTTTCAAATAGGCCAAGACTCGAATCAAAATTTCTGCTTTTTCGCAAAATCAACGGGTCAAATTTAGCTAACTATCCCGACAAACAGGAATCAAGACTTTTTTCTCCTGCCCTTCCTTATCCAAGCCTCCTTGAGCTACAACTAAATCCTCGATTAACTCCCGCAAACACCGTGAGAATTCTCCGCGCTAGTTGAAAGCCGGGGCCAAAGGACATTTATGAATGCCTCAACTGTTTTTTATTTAGTAAGAATAATTTGCGGCTACTTTATTTATGACTCAACGATGAGAACTTGCGCAATTTCTATCCCGAGCATTGTAATGGAAATAACGGGCATTTGATGGGGGAGAAAGTGACCGTCAAATAGGCTGGCGGCAAAGAAAATAGTCTTCTTTCTGGCCCATAAATTGAAAATTAGCTGTGTTTTTGGCGGAAACTTTAGTGCGTGGAATTTTTTCTACTTGGGCTTTTACGCAAGTTTTGATCACGATCGACCCATCGCACTTTCGGCGCCTTTCCTTTCTTAGTCATTGTACTTTTGCCAAGAAAAACTTTGCCAAACTGACCAACCCCGCGTTTTTTACGATCGAAATTTTATTTCCTACGCCCATTCCTCCCCCATTTACCAGTTCCCTTCAACGGAATTGATGCTATTTTTATTGGGAAAGTGACAAATTCTGTTTTAAATTTGATTTCCCATTTTCCCACTGGTCATTTGAGTAAGAAACGGCTGATTGAAGAACGTGGTGGATTTTGTATCAAAAAAGTTGCTCGTGATTTGGTCGCTTCTTTCTATCAATACTTTTATTTTGATTATTTTAGAATTTGTCTTTTTGACGATCTGCCAGATGATTTTGACTATGAGAGTCAAGGTGTACGCTGATGGAAAGTTGTAAGTTTAACGGGGAAGTAAAAAGCGGGATGTCCTCAAAGTTTGATGCTCAGATTTGGATTAAATTTTAGGCGGATTAAATGCCTTGTAAGCAACATATTAGAGTTCTCCGTGTCCCTGCTTTTTTAGGTTGACGACGGTTCGGATCAACACAAAATCGATAGACATGGGGTGCAAGGCCGGTGTATACCAAAAAAAGATTGATAGTGCCTGTTAGTGCCTGTTAGGCCTGGCGAAGCCATTTTTGGTCGGCCGACGCCCGGCGAAGACTCGGCGGAGACTTGGCGAAGACTTCAAATATATATGTCCGCTTTTTCTAATTTTAGCTATTTCTAACGTTAGTTTTGTTTGCCCTGAGGGATTGTAACACACCAAAATTTGCGGCAAAAGACGATGATCCGTAACTTTTATCTAGCCATCATTGATGTAAGTAGGTGTAAAATATACCTCAAAATAGGTGATGGGCTTCCTTAGAACCCGATCAATGTTATTATTTCTACAATAAATTCTCCCGAAAACTCGTAGCACCGATTTTTTCAACGTTTGTTTTGCTGTAAAAATCAGATTTTTAGCTCGAAAAATGGTTGAACAAAGATAATGTTTTTGTTCAAACTTGCGTTTCATTTACATATTTGTATTTCAAAACTCTCCCTCCAATTCAAATATTCATCCAAAATCAACGGGTTTTATCGCCAGTGATTCATTCGTTTTCTGGAATCCAGCGCGCGAAGACGATTTATAATACTTATTTTTAATCTTTATATTGGATTATACCGAACGCAAATTTCTGGCGCTGAGTGAGAGCGACGAACGGAACAAACAAATCTCTTTTTCGGACTGGGGAGCGGGATGAGACGTGAATTCGAAAACGTTCGCTAAATGTTGGCGTAGCGGGCTTGTAATTGGATTTTTTGGATGTGGTTTTGTCTTTACCGGTATTTTGTCTTGTCATTTGGGCGTTTGGAGATGTAGATGTGGCATTGGAAATTGCATTGCGCTGGTAGAACTAAAAAGATTTATCGGGTCCTAGGATAGCTTACCACCGTTTTGAGGCATTTTACATGTACATCAATAATGTCTAGATGAAAGTTACGGATCTTCGTTTTTTGCCTCAAATTTTGCTCTTTGACATGTTAAAATAATCCAGGATAAAGGAAACTAACGTTAGCAATAGCTAAAATTAGGAGAAGTGGACGTATTGCAAGCTTCGCCAGGTCTTCGCCGAGCCTCCGCCGACCATCCAAAGGCGTTGCCAGGCCCTGTAGTCACTTCCTACAGCCTTATTTGACTGATTCTTTGAAAATGGGCCAAGATTCCTAAAAATATAAACATCGTATCTTGTGTTCCTCCTAATTAAAAAGTCATAAAATCTTTTTTTTCACTAAAAAACATTCTTGATCATCTTTCAACCCCCCAAATTTCCAAATCACGTCAAACTCCACACATCAAAACTCTATTTTTTTGACTGTTTACTTTTTCCCACAAGGTTATCAATAGGCTACGACAAAATCTTTACGATTTGAAAACATTTTATTGGAGGATGTATCAAAACGAGCCGGTTATATTTATTTCCCTTCCGAGTTTTATGACATGTTTTTCGAGGGAAATAATTATTGCATATTGTTCCTGAAACAAGAACGATTTTTGAAAATTATAGGGAGCTAACGAGTAGTCATAGAATTTTTTGGTTTTACTGGGTAAAACAACCGAAACGAAAGATACAGTCCTTTTTTCATTGTCTTCTCTATGGTCTTTTTACAGTGTCAAAAAGGGGTGTGAGTCAAATCTTTTCTTTGAACAGAATCTATGAAATCTTTAAAGTTCAGCGCTCATATTCCGATAAAACTTGGCATAGATTTAGAGTAATTTTTTATAAGACATATGTGGGGCTCCTACTTTGCAAAAAACGGCCGATATTTTTGGGTCAAAAATGGGAAAAAATGCGAGACATTTTTGCCAAATTTGGCATGAAAAAGCATTTCTGTTTCTGCTGTACAGGGTGATATTTCCATAAAAAAATAAAATTTTTCTGCAGAAGAAAAAGGCATAACCAAAAAGTGTTCTCTGCGACCATTCTCCACGTTTTGCTGTCGGCCGCAAAATCCGTTGATTATCCTCGGCTGCCCCTGTAAAGCGCAAGTCAAAATTTTCTTGAATTTATATATGGCACATGCTCAAACCCCGCACAAAATTCAAGAAAGAACTGAGCGTCGATCTTCGAGTACCGCCCTGTTAGTCCATGGCCTATCGATCGCCTCTGGCCGAATAATTCTTCGACCAAAGTTCGTTTTTCTACCACCGATCCTCTTTCCCGCCCACCCTTGTGCCTGATAATTTATTTTATTATGCGAGCTCTCTCTCCACGACTAGATAATTGTTCCACATTCATCTTCTGGAGTTCCATGTCCTCCCTCCTCTCTCTATTGCATCTCGTGTCGATTGGCCATAAATTTTTTTCTCTGATTTATTCCTGCTTTCCAAAAACAGGGTTCTCCGTTGTCAGCGTCGTTTCGTATTGTTTTTTCTTGTTGTTTCCGGGCGCGGATCCCTCACATGTTTCCTTTTTCGGGTTGAAAAATGGGTGCGCCGAAATTTATTCGAAAACTCGCCGAGATTTGCGCCCGCCGTCGAGGGTTTAGCGCGCAAGTTTCCCCTTGCTATGCCATTGTTTTTAGAGGGGCTGGGAGATTGGGCGAGGTCGGGTCAAATCTTGAAGCTGTTTGGAGAGAAGATTCGACTTCTTGGAGGTGTTTCAGGTTGGCAGGAAAATTATGATTTTTGTGATTTTTCGCAAAGACAGAGCCAAAAGACTTACAATTTTTCGAGGTCAAAACGCCACCGAATTTATCCTTTGAAAACGCTTTGGATCCTTAAGATTTCACATGTTTTTTATAAGCTTTTCCTAAAGTTTCCCTCTGATTTTAACTACCCGCGAATCACCCTTTATCCTTGTCAACCATGCAACCATAAATCAGCGCAACGATTCGCTGCTCGACAACGATATAAATTTTGTTGCGCAAACGCATGTTTAAGGTCTTTTGGCGTCGCCTGACTCCAGGACATCTGCGGTAATCGTTTGAATATTTTCGAATTTATTGTCGCTTCTTTATGACGTCATGGGAATTCCGAATGCAGAGGCGATTGCTTTTGTAAATGAAGTCTGCAAATTCCTTTTTTATAAAGGAATGTGGAGACGATTGAGGGAAATCGTGCTGATTTTTCAAGGCGATCTTTTTTTATATTTTGACTCGATTGAATTCCCCTCAAAAACGCGCTGCCTTAAACGCATGCCAGTAAAATATACATTCCATTTTACTGGATTTTCCTGTGTCTTTCTCGTTAAATAAATTGACGTGAACAGTCCTGCGGGAGGTTTCACGCTGCGCCTCTTTTGTTTCAATATGGATTCGGAATTCTTTAAATTAAAATCCGTCGAAGAGACTCCGAAGCCTTTGTGTTTGATATGCCACATCTGTCTTAACAATTTCTGTCACTCAAAATAGCCAGTTTTATTTTGAGATTTTTGAATTAAAATTTGTTTTTTAGGATTAACGCAACCCCAGCCAAACTGAAGCGGGCCCAGTCCAAGCAGAGTGGTGCGGCTGGAGTGGAGGAGAAGTCGGCGCTCCAGCACGCCAAGAACTTTTTGAGAAGACTGTACAACACATCCACATTAAGGCTGAAGCCCGAGAAAACGGCGAAGAATGGGAAGATCGACCCGTCCGAGCGATTCAAAACTGCCACAAGTCCTTTCTATGAAATGAGGTGAGTTGTTGTCGGATTTTCAACGATCTCTAAAGGCCTGCGGCTCTGAAATTTTTTGCCATCTACTGAATTTGCCTTACAGCATCTGCATCTTGACTTAAAGTAGATTTCGTGCCATTTCACTCAAAATTTCTTCTATTTCCCCATCCATTATTAAGAATGGGCTTCTGTGTAAACCCACCCGGCAAAATCTCCCCTTCAGAAATTGCCTCAAATTGATGACTCCTCCGAAATTCTCGGGCCAAAGGTGTTTGGAGGGGTTTCGAAAAAATATCTTTGGGTCACTCCCCGTGGAAGAATTCCTAGACAACGTTTTTGTCTTGAATGGTCATAAAAAGTGACCACAAGAGGGGAAAAGGGATTGGAAGGCCATAATTTCCTTCTTCTTGATTTCGCTTTTGGTCAGAGGTTTTCTTCTTTTGGAATTTTATAAAAAAATTTTGGGCTGGAAGGGGTTTTGACCTGTAAGGCTTTTTTGGCTGATAGCGCGGGAGGTAATTGATGGAAATCTATGGAAGGTGTATCTTTTGCAACCCTAAAGATCCTCTTCCTTCACAAAACAACTATTTTTAGTTGAGGCCCTAGTAAGGCAATTTGCAAAAATCATTTTGATAAAAAATGACAAATTTTGGCGATTTTGTAGGATATAATAGATTTCAACGGTATTCTGATGGGGGGATATTGCGGCAAAAAATCGTGCAGTCGATACCTGGGAGCCCTTAGGTCCTAACAACTTTGTTTTTGCAAATTTTTATCCCTTACCTCGCAATACATTGCCAAAAGAAACCTTCCAGATCCGCCTGACCTTGAGATTTCCTATTTTAACACTTCTTCAACTGTTGTTGACAACATCTTGTGAGATTCGGGATTTATTTTCGACATCTTGTCTTTACATTGCCCAATTAGTCAGGTTTCCGGCAAAATCTGTCAACCGTGTCAAACAATTACTTTTGATTCTCGGTTTTTATTCTCCTTACATCACTTTTGAGTCTCCTACGAATTGCCAACTGTCTGTGCAAAAGAAACTTGACCTGATGGTCAGTTGGTTTTTCCGAGAGGAAAATGTTCGGTCAAAGAAAAAAGAGCAGCTGGAACACAATGGCCTGAGGGGAAATGGGTTTTGTTTTCGGCGAACCCTCATAATTTCGTTTGGGGGATTTGATTATCGCGAAGGTGAAGCTTGTATTCATGTACTCAAATTTCTATTTATAGTAGCACATTGTCAGTGAGCTGATAAAAGATGGTCAAAATTACGTCGTTGAGGTGCTTTTGTATCGGCAAAAGGTTTGAAAAACTCAAATATTATAGTTAAAATTCTGTTCTCACATTATATCAAAAAATAATTTATGGGGTTATAACAAAAAAATGTTTATATTTCCAGACTCCCTCAACCGGAAGAGCGCCCGTTCCTCCCCTACAACATCCGCTACGAAGTGGAGGATGATGTTGAAAGCGGCACGGAAGAAGTCAGCGGATACGTGGAAGAGGACTGTAGCGTCATCTACAACAACTCGCACCTGCTGAACACGCCGGCGTCGACGAGCTCCGGCTCGTCGGCGCTGAACCACTCCTCGCCGGACGAAGGCGTCTTCAGCGGCTGTGAGGACGGCTCAACTGTGTCGTCAAGTCGATCATCGGACCACTCATTTTCGAATATTTTGTCCAACCGCTCCCCAAGACAGTCGCAGATTGCATCGAATCGACCGAGCTCTGGAATGTCGTCGGCGTCATCGACAGCGATGCATTCCGCGTTGTCGTCGTCGTCAATAAGCTCACCCGCTGCGAAGAGGCCGGCGGATATAAAGGAGGAGGAAGGTCAGGATGGAACGTTCAAAAATTGGAACCAATTGTTCGACCATTTGAGGAAGGAAATTGTAAGTTTGACATATGCCAGATGCGAGCAGAATAAGATACAGACTCGTGCCGGCAGTTTTCGGAGACTTTCGGAATTAGGTCCTATTTTTGCCTAGACTGGTCAATAAATACCTTTAACATTGGGCTGTTGAAGATCGGGTTTTTGTGTGGATTTTATTGATTACAGTGACGGGCCTGATCCTGTAGCAGAAATCGTACTATTTTACATCCGGGAAGTATCAAAAAATGTAGCAAAATGTCTTCTTCTCCAACTAAAAATACTCCGTTTCGCCCTTGCCCTCGCAAAAAAAGGTACACGATTTTGAAAGTGGAGTCTTCTCACTTGGAGAGGGAGGTATTTTGCCACGTTTCTGATACTTCCCGGATGCAAAATAGTACTGTTTTTGCCACTGGATCAGATCCGCCGCTGTATCTTGACCATGATTTTATAACCCGCCGATTTAATTTGGACCAGTCTGAAACTCGTCAGTTGATTTTCTGCGCAGTAGCAAAATATGACCTCTGCCCTGGGGCACATAAAAAAATTCTGGAGCTTTTAATTTCAACTATTTTCAGACCGAAATGAGAGCCCGCGATCAGGAGATTCTCGAAAACCTGATGACAATTGAAGAGGAAATCCGCGTTGTGAAACACAACCAGGCCGTTTGACGAACCTCCGCGCCAACAACATCCACAAGGGTATTCACCTCAAAAACATGTTTCTTTACTATTCTATTTTACGACAGTCCGTTTGCTGTAGAACAATTTGCCGTTCACGGTGCTTTAATATGTTATAATCACTTTAAATTTATCCCAGTGTAAGAAAGAGTTCACATTGGTTTATTGTTATCGGCTTTATCCTATGTTTATATCTCCCATACTCAACAGTGTTTTGAATAAACAAGTTATGACGTTTTGAAATTCACATACTGTACTATAAATAGGAATTTGATAGTAAGTTTGACGGCATTAAACTTCTGTATGAGTAATCCGAACACTTTAATCCCGAAATTCGTCAAACTTTGGGCGAATTATACGGTATTACCAGAGACCAGGTCATCGGTCGGTCATTATGTGTGTGTAGAAACTCTCGTCACTTATTTGATCCCAAAATTCTGTCGGCGGCATTTGGGTATAAATTTAATCATTCTATCGTACCTCTTAATCGCCCCCGCTACAGAAAAAAGGTGATACAGTAGTCGTCTCTAACGTGCATGTTATGAAGTGGGTCTGCCCAATTCTAAGTGTCACGAACACAATTATTTTTGTACTAATTTCCTTCTACATCCCAACTATTGTCAAGATATTAGCAGAGATAGAAGAGGGCCTAAAAACGGAAGTCATTGAGATCTCCGATCTACACAATGAAGCATGGTACGTTGAATTTTGCATGTAATTTTATAATAGTTTCCTTTGTTTCAACGTCAAAAAACATTTGTTGCTAAACACGTTAGTGTTGGACTTTTTGAAACACACTTGAACCTTTTATTATAATACCGCTTTTTGTATGCAAACAGTAGGTTTTATGGGGTCATCAAGCGATTTTTATAGGGAACTACTTCAACGAACAAAAACGACAGCTCAGCTGCGGCGAAAGCGAGCCTGGCAACCACAGTGCAGTTGCAATGCATTCAACACTTGCCCGCCGGGACCACCAGGAGCACGTGGTGCCAGAGGGTTGAATGGGTTTCCTGGTAAGACTCAAAAAATCAAGTATATACCCTGTGTACCAAATATAGCTGCTAGAATTTACATTTTTCTTTAAATCTAGGTATTCCCGGAGCACCCGGAGCTCAAGGACTCCCCGGCAATTATCCTCAAATAAATATTGATCCGGTCGACAAATGCCGAATTTGCCCATATGGTAAAGCAGGCCCAGATGGCCCAGAAGGCCCCAAAGGTCCGCCCGGCCCGCCTGGAGCACCAGGTGTTCCTGGTGCGCGTGGAATGAGAGGACTAAGCGGCCAGGAAGGGGCACCCGGCCGGCCTGGAGAACCCGGAAAGGTTGGGAAACCAGGCCCTATCGGACAACGAGGTCGCAACGGAATAGTTGGAAGAAAAGGCAAACCTGGAGCACCTGGCTTGCCGGGACCGGCCGGAAGTCGAGGTGAAGTTGGAGCTGCGGGAGAGCCTGGGGTCCCTGGAAATGATGGAGTTCGAGGAAGGATGGGCCAAAGAGGAGATAGAGGCGCGGCTGGACGTCCAGGTGTTCCCGGATTGAGCGGAAAGAAGGGTGAGCCAGGACGAGACGCACTTTACTGTTCATGTCCCAAGAGAACCTTCGTTTTGGACAGAACTTCCAGTTTTTGAGACAGCATTGCTATTTGCAAATACACAAAAGGATATTTAAATAAAACTGTAACACTCCTAAAATGGGTTTAGCATCCTATAGATTGCCTCGGCACCATGAATTTAAATTGGATTGGGCTCTGTTGGCTGAAATGTCATCCAACTTTAAATATAAAAAGATTAAATGCGATGATTCATCGATCCTTGAGCTGTCTGGAATTTCTCGCCTTGTGGCATCTCCGTGCGGAGAACAATACGTGTTGAGGGTGGATACAGGGCGAGATTAATGCGGTTTCTGCATTTGAAGGGTCCGGGATTGACGCGCAGATATGTGCGCTTCCATGAGTAACGCTCAAACCTAAAGATTTAATCCTTGACGCACGAACGTCTCATCAAAATGTACTATAAAGAAAAGTCAGTGACAAATCTTGATATTCCACCATCAAAACTTACTGTAACTTGACGGTTGTTACCAAACAAAGGGCCGTTATTGTCCTTTAGGTGATTATAAACACAGGATTAACCTACAGAGTCCGCCAAGACGCTCAATGGCCGATTCATACTGTATAGATTACGGCGGAGGAACGAATAATAATGGCAATCAATTAATTCGCAAAGGAAATTGCTCAGTATGGAATTTAGGTCCCCTAAGCTGCTTCAGTTTATAGGAAAGATGACATTTGAGGAGCAGACTTGATATTTTGAACGAGGAAAGTTGTAGAGTCACGTTGCATTGTTTAACATCGCTTGGGGTTAAATTTTTTACAAATAAAAGAACTCTATTCTTGGTACCTGTAGAACCAGATTTAAACTGTTCTCGGAAACGAGCCATTTTATACGATTAAAAGCAGTCTGAGCAGGTTTTATCGTATAAAATGACCCCTTTCACTTTACGCACACCTTATACATTGTCATTTTTATCATGGATGAGTATAATATTTCAATTTTTTATTCACTAACAAATCTATAACTCTATTTTAATTTTTGAGATCATGCTTAGAAATCACAATAAATAAGTTAGAATATGTTGTACGAGATGATATATGATACATGATGTACAATGAAACAAGAGAAAGAAGACCGGGAAATTTGATATAATCGTATAACTGTACATATGTATGTTACGAAAATCTTTGTTTTCAAGCCACTTATTGCCAGTTAGCAGCAACAAGGTTAAACTGGGGAAACGGATTTGGAAGCTTCATAAATGGCGTCGGAGATGACTGTTTGGCCGTCTGTTCCGACGCGTTCAAACTCTGTTGGAGGAGTAGCCGCAGAAGAGTGTTCTGGTCAATTGTTGGAGCTGGCATTGGAACTTCAGGCTTCAGAACTGGAGGCAGATCAAATTTCGAGTCCTCCGTTGACATAACAAGGGTCGGCAACACGTTGAAGGACTGGCTAATTGAGCCCAGAGCAGTTTCGGCGGCGAAAGACGGAGCCTGAGGGTTTACATCAACTGCCATCGATGGCTTCACCGAGTTGGTCAGACTTAACGCGTTAGTGCTGAAGAAATTCTCGTTGCTGTTGAAGCCAACGGGAAAAATGGGGCTGGCAGTTGGCGCGGAAATATTGCCATTTTGCCGTTGACTCATTGACAACAAGACCGATAGCGGCGTTGAGTTCAACAAGATGGGTTGACTTAGACCGCTCGCTGATGAAATCGCCTCGCTTTGCAGTGATGCTGGAAGCATGGCGTTAGAAGAGGTGGAGTTGACATAGTTCTGGTATGCGGTTGAGGCGGTGATTTGAGGCAGCAGACTTGGCAAAGTCTGTGGTAGAATTCCGGATGGAACTTCATCGTTCGATGGCAGAAGATTTGGCATTTGACAGGGCAAAAGTTGATTGCCCAGTGCTTGATTGTTCATTCGCAACAAGTTGTTGACATTTTCAGACCAGCCAAAATTCGAAGAGCACGGGTCGAGGCCCACGTTCAGAGGGGAAAGTGAGTTGCCGCGGCTTTGTGCGGGCAAAGAGATGGTTTGGGATTCCGGCGTTTGGCCGGGCGATGACAAGAAGGATGATGTGCTTGGCAGGGATTGGGTTGAGACTAAAATTGAACGGGTTATTTTGCAAAAACTACTTGGACTTCTGATCTATCGGCACGGCCAAAAACCTAATTTGACTGGTCATTTTCAATTTTTTTATATTAGTCTGTCGGAAAAATAATGAGCGCTTTGTTGCGTCAAGATCGCATTGCGGCCGAAAGAATGAATTGTGTCGCGGTAAAATGATATTTTTTTCACTTTAGCCACACGATCGACCCATCGACACTGTGCACATCATTTTTCCGACAGACTGTCAAATTGCTGTTGCATGCTTACAATTTCCAGGATCATCATTTTCATCATTAAGCTCGTCGAATTTGGGGTTCTTGCACATCCAGGGCCGTCGAATCGGATATTCGAATACTTCGGATCGGCGTTTACGGTTGATATTTTGTCGATAAGTGACCACGGTCTTACACTAAAAACAGTCTATCAGAAAAGGTCTGATCAGGAGTATTACAAATTTCTACCGTACGCTTACACAAGCGGTAAAAAGATCACGACTTTTTGACCGCTCAAAATCATTTCTGTAACGAGTTTAAAGTAAAGTTCAGGCGGCGAAAAAGATTTCCGCGGAAATTCTTTTTTTGGTAAACAACACGAATGTTTGTAATTTTGTCAACTCAATTTGCGCAAAATTAGAAAATGACTCAACATGAAGTGCGACAAAAAGCCAGAGTTATTTTTAAAGGTCAATAATTCTATTTATGGGCATTAAAAGTACGAGGGAATTAGGTTGCCAGATTAGACTGCACTTTAAACCCACGATCAAACTTTGATGTTCTAAGGCGTTTGTAATCTTTACATGGTTTAGGTGAGTCACCACGAGATTATTGTGTATGCGGAAACATGGATTTCCTCGGTTTTAGTTGGCCGGAATTGAAAAATCACGTCAGATTGGAAGTTAATATAGACTGTAGTTTAAAGAGCTTCAATTTTTGCTATGTTATTTGATGTCACTGCTGATTTTTTTGGCAGAATTACGAAAAAATAGATGAAAAGTAATTTTTCGGAGACTTTTGGAGACTTTTTGATACTTTTTGCTCGTTTTTAAGATTGCAAGGCATGTTTGCTAAGAATAAAAAACATAGTGCCTACCTTAATGCAATCGCAGGAGCGATACGGGCAGATCTTCTTATGGTTCTTCAAGGGCACGGTGCGGCCATGAAGCGAACATTTTAGGCATTTGTGCATTGTCAGTGAGGCTCTGAAACTTTGTAGTATTACATCGAAGAAGTAGCAAGCCATCGCGTCTCAAAAATTGAGGAAAATGACACCCGCAAAATAAATAATAATAACATAGCGAAACATGCAAAAAATTACAAATGCAAATATCAGCTCGCTAGCTCATATCCGCCACGCTTCCGACCCATCGATGGCACGCGAGCCGCCGCTTATATACGCTGGAACCAAGCAAGTAGTAATCAAGTTGCGAGTCATTTCAACAATTACAAATTTCAAGCACCCCCTGTCGAGACAGTGTTTTTCTCACACTTTACCGTAACACAATCGAGTGTACTGTGTTTCGTGGAATCCCCGAAAGTGTAAATAAACACTCGCGAGATGTGGAAAGTTTAAAGCCGGGTATTATAATTTCCCAACCGCCAAGATTACGGGTTCTGCAGGAGGGGATGTAGAAAGGTGCGCTTTCCAACAGTCGTATGCAAAAGAAATGAGAGCCTACAGGCCCGTCCGTATAGTCGCTGAAGCAATTTTCATGACATGCACTGTGCGAAAACAAAAATTTACTCTGCACCGTGCTATTTGTTGCTTTTGCACGGTGCAATAGGCTTTTTTTGGACTGGCTTTTTTTCGCACCCTGACTTTTTCTGCACAGTGCAAACGTCAAAAATCAGTCAGACGACTTTCCTTATTTTCATAAAGTGCATGAGCATTTTTTTCGCTTTTGAAAAAAATTTAACACCGTGCATTTTGAACTTTTTCCAACGCTTTCGCCAACGCACAGTGCATTTTTATCTTTTCGCACAGTGCAAACCTCGAAAATGCCGTTTGCACTGTGCAGGTTTTGGAGCAAGCGCAGTTGAAAAAAAGCTTACATCGCAGCGATATTTCCGATGTACGGTGCAAAGTCAAAAATACCGTGAAACGCACAGTGCAGAATGGTGATTTGCAGTGCGCGTTCTTGTGTACGGTGCGGGTCACAAAAAATCTACCTGCATTTTATGCAAATGCCAATACGTTAAATTTGATGACCGAATGGATCTAATTCAGCAAAAACTTTGTTTCTGTACGTAAAAAGGAGCTCAAGTTGCGCAATGGGAAGGATAGTAAAATCGAGAAAATGAAAGGACTTTTATTTTTGGGTAAGATACAAGAGCAGTGAAGTTAGTGAAAAGTATAATACGTTATCAAAAATGAATTCGAAACATGAAAAATTTGGAACCAAAAGAATTGGGGTAATACAGATTATGTATGTAAAGACTTCGCTAATCCACATAGATATCTTATAGAAAGATATGGTATGTCAAATAGCGGAAATTCAACCAAGAAAAGGCGGATTAAATTGCGGTACGTGCCAAAACTCTAATTTTGTTAGAATGATTTCTTATATTTTTACTTTCCAACCATGGGATATTAAAGATTTCTGAACTTATTCATGTTGTTATGTCAGTCTGTCGGGGAAAAAATTAGCACTCTGTCGCATCTATGTATAAAATTGCATCGAAGACGAGAAAATGAATTGTGTCGCGGCAAAATCAAATTGCTTTTGACTTGCGATTGGCGCAGCGACATTGTACTCATTATTTTCAAGACAGACCTAGTATATTAACTCAAACTATATATCCCAAAATATAACCGCCGATATTTTCCCGACAGACTAATATGACTTCTAGAAATTGATAAAAACAAACTTCTGCTCCCGGCTTGTTCCATACCCAGATCCATTCACCGAAATCCACGAAATCCGCCGTCGATCCGAAGCTCAAAGGTTGCCGACAAAATGGATCGATGTCTCGCGCGAGATCATAAACGCTGGATTGTTGAACCCTGTTTCGTAGGATTGCTAAATCCGTTCGCAACTCCGCTGCATTGATCAAATTAAATTTTTGGCCCATTTTACACGTTCATACATCCAGCGTCACCACTACCGTAACGCAGCGTGCTAAATGATCAGGAATCGCAGTGTCTACAAGGCGTTCTAGACAAAACACCTGAAAACGGCGTGCTCAACGATCGGCTGGGCGTCGTTCCCATTACGCATACATTATTTACCCGAGGCGTGCAGGATGTTTTCGCTCCGGTTTGGTGGTATTTTCCAGTAATTTGGGAAACAGGGGTCTAGTACGAGCGAGTGCGTGCGTACTGCGCTGTTAAATATGAAGTGACTTTTTGGAAAAGGTTGTGAGGATACGATAGTGTCCAAAAACAATGGTCACAAAGAGTACGGTGCATAAAGGATACATATACGTAACAGGCTAAAAATACGGTTATGTCTGAAAACCAAGCTTTCTTTGAAGATTGAATTTGACCAGTCGTATTGCCCGAAGGTAATCACATATAGCCTGTAAGGGAGAAAATCCACACAAAGCCCAAATTTCAGTCTGTCGGGAAAATAATGAGCGCCCAGTTGCATCGAGAATCGCATCGTCGTAGAGAAAATTAATTAACAAAATCAATTTGCTTTCACTCCAGCAACACCGCCGGTGCAGCGACATCATGTCCATTATTTTTCCGACAAAATGATAATAAATTTTTTGAATATGAAAAATTGATTTACCTACATTACCGGTCGACTCGACTCGGCCGCATGAACAATCACAAAACATGCTAACCTATCACATCTCACACAACATATATCGATCGACAGTCGCTAATCCGCCTCGAAACGATCCCCAAATTACGTCAACGCCGCGCCGGCCCATCTACTAAAACTGTAAGTGTTTCGCTACATAAATACGATTAATCCGAGGGGTGGGATCTCTCCGCTCAGACTTTAATTTTCCCCTTCAATAACATTCGAAAAAAGATTCGTTCTTCAAAATGGCACATACCGTGGTTCGAAAACGCCACTTATCCCGTAGCCCGCATAACATTGCACGTCCTTGTTAAACTCTTTCCAAACCCTTTTTTGTAGCATACAGATGTGTGTCGTAGTAGGCAATTTGTGTCTACATTCAAAGGGAGAAGCTTAAACGCATCTTGAACTTTGCGAAACATGTACAAAACACCCATACCGTAGCACAAAGCGTTTTCAAAACGAAATGGCTTCTGTCACGGCTTCAAATTCAAATAGACAAAAGTGTGTGTGATGATGACATGAATGCGGAACATAGTAAGGAAGACTTAAAATAGGTAAAATAAAATACAAAAACTACAGTAGTGACATACGAAAAACTACTCTGACGTGTTGTGTGTTTCATGGAAGTATTCAAAGATCAGGGAAAGACGTACTCCAAGCCCGACGCACGCTCAGATTTTGATAAAACTTGGGGCAAATTTATAAGAATTTTTTCTTATTCTTGGGCAAGTTCAAGGCTCCTAGTTCCGTATTTCAATCGGAAAAAGTAATTTTTCTGCAAAAAATAATATTTTTAAGCAGAACTGGCAAGGTATATCCAAGAATACTTCTTTTTCTGTGACCGCTCTCCGCGTTTCACGTACCCTCTTTCTCTCTCGGCCTCAAAAAGTGTTCGATAAGATTGTTGAATGTCTTGGTTTTCCATGAAAGGTGCGGACTAAAACTGAAAGGATTATGTCTGCAAAATTTTTAAAACAGTTGCATATCAGGCAGCCTTAGAATATATACAACATTCAAAAAATAGCAGCAGTGCTTGAGCATATCCATTCGAAAACCCGAGCAGCACAATACACAGCACTGTACAACTTATCATAAAACATAAGACAAGTCATTCGTTATAAAAGACCTCCGAAAATCTTCGCTATAGACATGTTTCGCTTTATAGGAGCTCGTTGTAGAGATTTTCCACTAAAATCGAAGATTAAAAAAAAACAAAAATGTTGTTTAAAAAGAAAACTAAAGCATTTGCGCAACAATTCAAACATGACAAATATATGTATTGAAAAGTAAATCAAAATCTTTGAGGAAGTCAAAAAAGGGTTGACCGCTCAAATTTTACCCCCAACTCTTTTCCATCGTTCCAAAATCATTAATGCGAATCAAAAATCAGGAAACCCTTTTTTTCACGTCATTAGCTCCACCCACAACCACCGTCGAACCGGAGGGGAGATCCATTGCAAAGATTTGAAAACCTTTTTCGAGGCAATTAATCCAAGCGCCGGAGAAAGAGATCAAGCGAACCCATGTAAGGGGCGGGGTCAAAACAGTTCAGGTGATCAAGCCGAGAAGGGTACCCTAGACAAAACAAGGTTATATGGCGCAAAAAAAACTTTAGTGCATGAGATGGGAAAATCAAATGTCGGATGATGTCACAAGATATAAAGGATTCTCTTGGGAGGTGATCAAGGATGATGTTTAGAGCTCTGGGAGTTTCGAAAAAATTAAGGCAAGTGTTCAATGTGTGACGCTCAGATTTTGATGAAGCTCTGCATATTGACTCCTGGAGCCTCCGAAAAAATTTTTTGCAACTTATGTTTTAAAAAAGCAGAAAACCGGCTTCTCCTGCAAAGCGCAAGCGAGAATTTCTCTATATTTAACGTCCTATCTTTCTTTGTGAACTTCCAATTAGTCCTACAATTAGCCAAACGTGTTGCAACATGGACGAATGAATTTCTAAACAAAGAAATTAAAATTTTCAAACATCCCTGAAGGAATTAGTCGCTTCGAAAATGGTGTAAAGTTTTTGAATGGATTAATCCCGGTATTGTCAAGCCAATGAGCTAGTGACAATACTACTTAACCTTTGGAATGTAGGAAAATTTCAAATGGACCTGCTAAGGATTCTAATTTGAACGGATAAATAGGAGATTAGAAAAACTATGGTAAGGGTGGACCAAAAATAATTTCTTTCTTTTTGGTCTAGTTTGAAATTTTTTTTGTTTGAAAGATTCCAAGTGCATTACTTCACGCACTCGGCTAAATAAAGACGCACAAACGCAGTAAAAGTACAATAGAAAAGACATTGAACCCATTTGGAATTGTACTTCCTTACACCAAAATTCACCGACCTCCTTGAACTATTGCGATCTCAAAATAAACGGTACGGCAGTTGATTTTGAACTCGGAAAATTTGTATCATATTGTCCGCATTTCCAAGTGCGTTGTGAGTTCAAACACTTATAATAGTTTGCGGACAGAAGAACGGCCT